TGTGTGTGTGTGTGTGTGTGTGTGTGTGTGTGTGTGTGTGTGTGTGTGTGTGTGTGTGTGTGTGTGTGTGTGTGTGTGTGTGTGTGTGTGCGTGTGTGTGTCAGAGAAAAAGAAGGCTTTGCAGCAGTTATGTTAAGTGTGTTATGCAAAATCCAAGGTTTTAACATGTGATTCATTTTATTATTTTTTTTTTACGCTAAAATAAGAAATCTCTCAAATCAATCACATTTTTGGTCACAATTATGCAAAATATTCTGATTTTACAAATGACCTGTTAAGTCCTGAAAAGAGTTCTCTTTCACACTTTAACTAAAGCATGTATTTTTAGTAGTTTATGTGCTCTTGTGTTTTACTGTGTGATATCTGTAACAGTTTGTGTGTGTGTTTGTGTGTGTGTGTGTGTGTGAGTATGTGTGTCTGTGTGAGTGTGTGTGTGTGTGTGTGGGTGTGTGTGTGTGTGTGCTCTAGAGTGAGGGAGAGAGAGAGATGAATGAAAGTAGAATACCCAAATAAAGATAAACACTGTGATGATGAGGGTCAGTTTAAATAGAGGGTGACGTGATTCTGGCCACCAGTGATAGACATATTATGGCTTACTCAAAAAGGTTTTAACTCACGCTTTAATTACGTCAGCTTTAGAGAAGCAGATATGTCTCTGGCTGTGTAATATCCTTCAAACCCCAGTCTCATAATCTGGTGTTTATGATTGGTGCTGAGATGATTCAAAGACTCAGGATCAGTGCTCCTCTGTCTAAACATCCACCCTGTAACCACTAAATACTGTAGTTATGAGCTACACAAGAATGAAAGATAACTATTGACGGTACATAATCAGACTCTCTTCAAACTAATCCTTTGGTAAAATAGCTCATTGTCTGGTTGTCCCTGTAGTTTGAAGTGGCTGCTGGCTTTGCTGTTCTGTGAGGACTTGATGTTTGGCTTTAAAGCTCCCTCTACTGGAAGACTCCTAAACCACATGACGTAAAACGAATCTATCCTAACATGATATCCAAACAGGCTGTATAAATATAGATAAAAGTTATTACAGATTAAAAAGGGGTTCAGAAATAAATGGACAATTTTTGGTGGTGAACGGAATTTTTTTTTCTATATTTTGTTGCATCTTTTCAGTTAAAAAATGTAAAATGGATGTGTTGTAGCAGAGGTTTGTCTGTCTGATTAACATGTTCCCAATCAGAAGACGTATGTGTTACACCATACAATAGACGGAGTGAGGAACTTGTGCAATAACCCAGGTGTGGTTACAGCATAATACAACACTGATGCTGAGCAGATAAAATTAAACGAAATCAGTTACAACAAAGTCTCGCTACTCGTCATCTCAGACAAAGAAGCAGCAGGAAACACAACAGAAGATTGATGGTACAATAACTTTCAATGACTCAAAGAAAACATTGTCACCACATAGTTTGTACTGTGGAAGACAAATGCCTCCCCGGGCTTAAAGGTCAGAGGTTCTACTCTGTCGCATCTGATGCACAACTATGCAGCCAAATATCTGTGCAATGAATGCTCAGAAGACAATAAATAGGAAGGAAATGTCAGTGTTTTCAACTGAAAGCAATTATGTGGATTGTCTGAGAATAAGGGCAGAGGACGACAGCGTAGTTTGGTAGTCACTCTCCCTGCTGGCTTTGTTCATGCTCTTGACATTGAGCTGACTGCACATGTTTTCTGTATGATCGAAACAATACGCAAAGGTTTTAAAAAAAAAAAAATCAAAAGAAAAACTGTTCCTAAACAAGTTACAGCTCAACGTAGTTTTGCAGACAGACGGTCACAGACAAAAAATTCAAGGAGAAACGTATCATACTGAGGATCTTAATACTGTGTTGACAAGACAATAGCTAATGCTTAAGAGGAACCTCCGGGGATTTAAAACAGATGGCTTTTTATAAATGATGATCCACAACACAGGACAGGTCACACTTAACTTCACGTCGTTCAGTGCAGCTTTATATTTCTATTGCACATAAAGAAGTTTACACAGCGCTTAAAACTAATGAAAAGTTTAATTATTTCACTTCCATTAAATTAAAGCAGTGATAATGCAAGCACTCATCAAGGTGACATTGTGACTGCTTGGTGTGTGGTTGGTGCCCAGGAAGCTGGAGGAGTCAGCGGGGCCAGGGGCCACGGAGAGGATCATGTTTATCATGCCTACATTCATGCATTTCCAAATGAAGCATGAACTCCCAGAGGAGCACAGACGATGCTAGTAAACGTCTCATTCTCTCGGAGAAAGTCAGGCTGAACCACGGAGAACAACAAATAAATAGCCACCGAGCAACGACCGAGTCTGTTTCAGGAGCCGGCCCAAATGTGTCGAAGTCATTAGTGGTCCAGTAGGTACGACCACCCACTCTGACCAGCTCGCCCTCCTGCGAAGGAGTCTCTCCAGCCGCAGACAACAGGGTTACTATGCTGAACTGATGGAGGCATGAAGACACATTATCTTAAACTACTATGACATTCAATTTGAGAGAGATTATCCACTTTATATTCCAATAATATTGTTGCCTGGGCACACATATGTAAAGAAAATCTCTTCAAATGTTGTCAAAAGTACAAATTTTCACCATGAACATACTGTTTACCTATATGATACAAGTTTATTCGCTCATTTTGTAAAAAGTACAGAGAGGAGTTTCTAATAGTTTGTCTTAGTGATTTAAAGGATAGATATTAAAGACACCTCCCCCTCCAATAGGACCTTACATTTGAATCTGTTGTTGACTATATTAGTTTAAGTTTACTTTATGAACTCAAGACTTGTATTGATACAATCTTTATTTAAAAAAGGATTATAATCATATATGACAAGATGTGCTTATTGTATAGATTAAAGTACATAAATTGTGCTTTTTGTTTTTATGAGCATTAGAATCATTGAAACACATCACGTGAAAATATGCAAAACTTCTTTTAGATAAGACATTATCAAGGTTTTTATCTCTAAAATTCCCATGCAAACAAATGAAACTTACTGAAATAGTTGGCTGCAGTAGTTTGGCCCGCCTCCCTCACTTGCCGGTGCAGTCGGAGTAAACCCGCCCCTGTTCTTGTATAAATTCAGACCGTGTCAGTGTGTGAGGACACACACTGCTTCAACCACGTCCCCGGCTGTAGCCCTCTGCCACTGGGAGGCCTCCGATTTGTGGATTACTGGATGGAAATGTCTGACACGGTCAAACCTCTGACCTCCTTCCTCATAGAGGACATCCTCTCCGTTAAGGACGGCACAATATTTGATGGCAAACGCTGTTCACAGAAGATGGAAAGATGGTCACAGTGGAAAGAAGCATCTGAAAAGTTGTCAGAGCAACTCTGCCCTCAGGGGACAGCATTTGGAGTGCAGACAGGTGAGATCCTGCAGGCTTTCAATAGCAGGAATGTAATGGATAGACGACCCGGTGGATTGTGTGTATTAGACTTTGATTCGCAGAATAACGTTTTAGAAGATGGCATAAATAATAGGTCTGTATCATCAAGTTGTGGCAATGTTATAAAAAAGTTTTAAATAATTGTTTTTTCCAAGAGTATGTTAGTGGCTGTTTACCTTTATAATGATTATGAACCTCCCCACAGCCGGACTACACCAAGCTGACTGTTAACAGAGTCTTCTTCATTTGTCTGTGCTTTATAGGGTCCCTGGACACATCCTGTCCCAGCACCTCAGAGTCCAGCAGTTTTTCCTCCCCGGGGAAACAGAAGCGCTCCAGAGCTGCGTTCACACACCTCCAAGTGCTTGAACTGGAGAAGAAATTTAACCACCAGAAATACCTGTCTGCCCCAGAGAGGGCTCACCTGGCCAGCACCTTAAGACTAACCGAGACCCAAGTGAAAATCTGGTTTCAGAACCGCCGGTACAAGACGAAACGAAAGCAGCAAACATCAGAGTTCTGTAAGGACGTGTACAAAGCAGAGGAGCTGTGTCTGAGAGACGAGCTAGTCCGATCATCACTAATCACCTCCTTCTGCAAAGCCTACCAATGCAGACCCTACATTTGGGACTACACGGCCCCCTGGGGGCCCACGTTATGGTGAAAGTGACATGATGATGAAGCTATGACTTACTTTTAGTTTTCCTGATATTAAGGCTCACTATCAAAGTTGATTATTTGTTATTTTGGCATTTTATTCATACACATTCTAAAAGTTTCTTTGCTTTAAGAAAAATGACAAAATGACATGTCTTGTGGTAACGGACACGATGTGGGATTGCATAATTAAACATTTGATCACTAATGTCAGTTGCAGCATTGTTGATGAATTCTTTATCAAACCATTGTAGTTACATTTGACTTTTCTTTACAGCTCGGTGTTAAAGAGTACAACAATACAGTAACTTATAGAGAAGAGCAAGTGTAACTAGCTCATTTGTCACATAACTAGTCGTACTTTCAGCAAACTTTAATCATTTTGTTGACATGTAGCTCAGTTTGCAGCTGGGTATTGACAGTCGTACTATAATACTGACAATGTGAGCGATTCATACGGGAGACATTTAAAGCATCTCTGTGGAGTTAAACTGTGATAATACAGCACATCTCCATAAGAAGATAAGAGCAGACAGAGATGAGGGTGATATTGTAAATGAGGGCCAAAGAATGAGATCTGATTCCTTTAAAGAGCTCCTGACCTGATTACATGGAGATAAACTGACATCATGAGGAACGTCATGAAACGAAGAAACTGCAATTTCTGCTCTGAGACATTTAGTTTAAAATGGCTGTGTGGTAATCAAATAAAAATCATGAACAGATTATTTCATAGAGAGATTATAGCGGTTTCAGTCAAAGACAATAGGAACAGATTGGAAAAGATATGAAAACATGTGTTTCACAAAGAACATAGAGTATTAAGACACATATAGCAAGTAAACAGTACTGCACTGTAACACATTCGAATTTTAAATGCACTGCAACTTTCCAATGTGTAATGCTCCCATTCTCTCTACTTGTGGCTGTGGAACATCTGTATAATCTGGTCATGTGGCAATTTTGCCATCAGTTTATAGGACATCCAACCATCTGCAGTTGTGTTAGAATGACACATCAGGGTTTGTATTTGAGCTGTCCTGCAACAGACAGATACTAAAGTAGATGTACTGTATCTTAGAGTGTTCTGATATTATCCATGCCTTCAATATAGAGTGTTGCGTTCTTTTGTTACTGCATGGCCCCCTGTTGCCCACCACAGGTGAGGTCGCTGCCTCTTTCATCACGAGGCTGAATGGAGTTTGAGCGGTAGTCGTTGTGTGTACAGCAGTTAAGATATTTACATGTTTTGTTGTTTTTTTTAAGGTTGAGTAAAACATGCAAATAAAAAAGGTGCATTTCTGAATGAAGTCTGGCAGAATACTCTTTACTGTAAATCATGCGTGACAACATGCTCACCATCCCTGCACATTACATCTCTATTTAATGGCTGAAATACTTACTTCATAACTGTCAAGTGTGCCTCTTTGAACTAAGAAGAGATTTCTATCATTTCTTCAAAGAAGAGTTCTACTCTACTGTATGAGTTTGTCTAGAACTATATTTAAGAAAAGATGAATAGCAACAATGTGACCTAAGAAGTGACTATAGCTTCATGTAGGTTAGCATGCTGGGCTGATTAAGTACAGTGCTGACAAGATGGCATGCAGGATTTAGGGCTTTACATATTTAAGGGGGGGAAGTTTGTGGCGACACAACCAAAGTGTGAGCAGAGGACTGATGGAATTGATAGAGGGAGACTTGAGAGGTCTCACGCCGTCTGACTTTGTGAAGTTGCCCTCATGGGGATTACTCTTATACCTGTGGCAACAAGTGTCATGACCTTGTTTTTCTTATTCCTCACTGTGATTCCTCTATCCTTTTAAATCAAATCTAGAAATTGATATGAGCCTAAATTGTACTATACTATTCAAATGAGCGAAAGTTGAACATATTGTGGCCTATCTATGAATGTAAGAAGCTAATCTTAATGATTTCCTTTAAGTGAGTTCTTATCACCGGCACCATTCATTCTAGGTCCTTGGAGTAAACAGGTAATTAGACATGAAGAGGGCAGATAGCATCTGTTTTGACGGCATTGAAAATCTGACAGTATCTCTCAGCATCTCTCGGTGTCTCAGGCCGTTCACGAACTCGATCAGATAAAAAAGCTTGTTGAAGGGTGAAGCTGAAGGTTAGAAGAACTGTTATTATTTGCACTTGCCATTGTAAAACCTGCACTTCCACTGGCTCAAAGGGACACGGTACATTGATTCACAAACACAGAAGACTTAAAAACAACATCCTCTTGTCTGTGTCCCTCTCTGGTTCAGGGAGTATCTCTAAATCTGTCTGTGCATTACCTGGATTAACTGGATTTGGCAAGTGAATGATGAAAAGCAGTGAGCAGGAGTGCATAACATTACTGCCTCCTCTCCTCTATAATTGGACCGTAGGTTTTGCCAGTTTGGCCACATAAATATTTTCTGTGATATGGAAATAAAGCAGGCAAATGCCAAGAAACAGTGTTAAGTCTCGGCTCTCAAGAGTTGATCTTTTTTTAGTTTTTTAGGGATCTGATTGTGAGGTGCAGTGTGGTCATGGAGCCGTCGTCGTGCTCTTCAAGGTGGCCAATGGTGCTTTGAAAAACAAGCAGATCTTCACAACAGATGAGGAGAAAAACCAAACCCCGACCACAAAGACAGCCTTTGTCACTGCTCCAATATGCCGTGACTGTCTGACAAATTTGTTGGGAGTTGATAAGGTTTAAAAGAGCCCTGATCTTTTCACATGGGAACACTCGTAAACTTCCTCGGATAATGTAACTGGATCCCTCATGTTACGGTACCAGTAGAGCAGCTGCCTTTCTTCTTCCATAAGCAGATACACTGCTGCTTATCCGATGGTTAACATTGATTGTGTGGCTGTGAACGGTGTGTGTGTGTGTGTGTGTGTGAGAGAGCGAGCGAAAGAGAGAGAGAGAAACAAGAGGAAGACTGGCAGACAGAGAGAGAAGAGTAATTTTCCAGTGTTCTTATCTGTGGGATAAAGATATAAAGTAGTGGGACAGTTTACTTCAGATTCAAACGATTAGAGATCAGTATGACAAGGAGAGAGGACATGGGCTGAGGGGGGGGGGGGGGGGAGCTCATTGTGCACTTCAGATAAACAACCTGCTCAGGGACAAGGGCAAAAACTAAACACATCAGGGACAACAACCTCACAGCAAGTGTACGTGTCCTCGTGCATGCTGGTTTGGAATAAAGCTCTGCACTGTCTCCATCTCAACGAAGGATCAGATCTGCCTTGTGTTTGTGTCATTACATGTAGGACACACGTGTGAAATAGAGCAACAGTGCTGGACTGATTATGACATCAGCATGTGTATCCAAACACAGTGAAATCACAAGTCGACATCATCTCATACCTTTGAGGATTGTTCTCCGTGTCTGTGATGACAACCTGTAAATGATACTACACCGCCCTCTGCTGGAGCTGTAGGACTCCTGCAGGAGACGCACTGTACTGGTAAAGGGTTGGTTCTCACAGATTGGTTCACATTTCTAAATATTTCACCTTAAAATGTGTCTTCCTTCAAACTGGCTCAATGCATGTGACAAGGAGAGGAGAACTCCTAGTAAAAGTGCTAAGTAAGTGTTTTTATTAGAGATAAACAAACATATGTGCAGAAGATGAGCACTGTGTGTGGAGACTAGTTACATCAGCAGTGGGTGGAGCGTATGCATGAGTTGGCGGAGGCCTAAACAGGTGCACCAAGTTAAGAAAGGAAGAGGTCATAACTGCATTCATGTTAATGGCTTTAACTCTTTTGAAAATAGTACTAATTCAAACTGTATTTTACTTGTGATAAAGGACTAATTTATCTCAAAAGCAGTTAGACTCAGTGCCGTTTCTTCTTCAGGTAGAAATATAGCTACACTGGAAAAGCGGTACTTTCAACTAAAGCCTCATTAACTTGTAAAGCTTGTGTATTTTCATGCAGAAAGAATAAAAACAAAGCACCATCTTCAGAAGCACTTAAAAGACTGAGGCGCGACATAGAACATCAAAGCAAATACTCATTCAGTTCAGAGACAAAACACACAAAATCACAACATTCCTCACTTGCATGTTTATTTCAGCTCCAGTGTTACATACTGTAGCAGCATTATCACAATCATTTCATATTAGCATGGTCATACTTCCCAGCATTCCTGTTCTGGAGATGGCTCTCTCTCAAAAACCATCCCAAGTATTTGTGCGTACTAAAACCATTTACATAATGAAAATCCCCACGTAGAACATCAGCCATCCTGTCTCCTTTAAAATGTAAGCATCTATTAGAAACACTACTTTGACATGTTAAAAGTACAGGACAAAAGTGTTGCAACAGTTTGGGAATTATGATTCACTATTATGAATCACCACTCCAAAGGAAGGAAAAGCACTAATCTGACTGGCTTCATTTTACTTTTGTTCATCAAATGATTCACTTAATATCAGGAGGGGAGTTTTGTCAACGGACCCGACTGAACAAAAATGAACACATCGTGGGCAACAAACTGTGATTACACTTCGATTAGAATAACACATCATGAATCGATGCTAATTGAGACATTTTTATATTCAAGCTGAGAAAACGGCTCATCCATTCATGTGAGATCCAAAACAAGTAGCGAGTATAAAAAGTTTAAAAATAAAAATAGGTCATCATGTAATTTTCCAAACATATTGAAAACCTTCCAAAATAACATACATACTGCTTTTTCTCAAGTACTTAGGAGTCAATGAAATATTTTAAAAAGGGGAAAAAGGATATGCTGAGGCAGAAAATACTTTCCCGACAATAAGCCTCGAGAGGATTTAGAATTTAAGTGATTAAGCAACTGAACACTACTCTGGTTGGAAACTATGCAGCTAAAAAGGTGGCATGACAATTCAGGCAGGCAGGCAAATAGCATTGTAATTACAGGTTAAAAGTAAGATGCATAGAACACAATGCACGTCTTTGGTATAGTCACAATTAGCGCGCTGTACAAGCACAAAGAATCTGCTGAGGGTTTGTGAGACCACTGGAATCTGAACTTTAACAAGGGGGAAAAACAAAACATCCTTAATTAAAAACAAATAAATCTAACTGCTTGCTGGATAACATCCAATATCTGGAGGAATGTCTTGACGACTGAATGGAAAGTATTCCAGAGGTTGGAGAGCGCAGAGAGCACACAGGAAATGTGAAAGTACAACAGGATGAGTGACAATAAAAGAACAAGCATTGCCTGCTCACCAGCTGATCAGTCACCGGTCTCATGGAGATCACCCAGTTAAAAGTTACGATGTTACATTTTGGATCACAGAAAGTCTGCACTTAAAAGCTCCAGTCATACTGTAAAAATAGTTAATATATAATGTACGACCTTGAGGTTCATGGTCAATGTGACACACGTAAACAAAAACAGGCCACTCGAAAGCTCAACGTCACACCGGTACAAATAAACGTCAGGGTTGAGACATGGACAACATCACAAGTAACGGCTGCATTTGATCCACCTTTGGACCGTTTCTCAGAAAAAGTCACGGTCACCCTCACCTGAACACCTATCATCAAGCTGCCGTCTCTCTACAACGGGTACGATTCTTTAAATGGGACGATTACTGAGCAGGATTCAGGAGCAACGGTTGGTTAACTGGACTACTGCTGCCTGCGCCCCGTGATGCTGACAGAGAGAAAGAGGGTCTCTCATTAGGAAACTACGCCATTTTGCACTTTAAGCAAAATGATATAACACAAAAATAGGAGTGCGGAGATTAAGCACCTCAGTTATGACATAAAGAGCCACTATAAGACTTGATCTTATTTCAGAATAAAACGCTTCTTTGCTAGAAAAATGTTCTCTGTGAAAAACCAGAGGGCAAAAAGAAAAACTGGTGAAGCCGTGTTTAATATTCATGAGGCACTTTGGAAAGTGCAACTGTTGTGGAGTGAAAATGAGGAATGTGTTGTGAATGCCTGTTCTTTTTTTTTTTTTTTTTTTTTTTTATAAATGCACAATGAAAAAGAAAACAAACAAACAGCATTGCGTTTCCTCCACATCCGTAAAATATAAGCCTCTGAAAGCTAACAAAATAAATAAAAAGATTCAACATTGAGAACTATAAACATCACTCAAGACAACTTGATTCTCCTCACGGCCTCCACGTGTAGAAGACAGTTTGGAGAGTTGTAGTTCATGAGTTTGTGGGGTGGAGGAGGAAGAAGAGGACCATTCAACTCTTCTTCGTGTTTCTGTCCTTTTAAGAATACTAATCTCGGTTGCATAATCCTGGTTGAGCAACATCCTAACTTGAAACACACAAATATTTAGGTGAGGGAACAATAAGGGAAGCCATTGTCTGCCACTCCTTCAGCGAGACAATAAGTGATGATATTTCCTCAAACAGCACACTTTCCATTACATGGGTCGAGGTCCCGCCTCCTGTTCACGCTGCTGCTTAGTCAGGAAGTACTTGAAGAACTCGTACACTGACCAGGCGATGGCAGTGGAGGGCATCTGGTATATAACCCGAGCTTGGGCCCCTTTGAAGAAGGCCGCTAGGCCACCGAGCCGGTACACTGTCCTGAAGGCATTAGCCATTCCCGATAAGTGGCCGCTGATCTTCATGGAGTTAAGCGCTACATTCTCTTGAGTGTTGAGCAGAGTTTTACAAACGTCGAGGGGAGTGGTTATGGCTGCGGAAATGGCTCCCGCTGCTGCTCCCGACACTATGTGGCTGCCGGGGTGGTAAAGTCTGTGAGGGTTCAGCTGCTCCTGCATCAGCTCGTAGATGATGAAGTGAGCGGCCTGGAAAGGGATGTTCATGGTCAGCTGTGTGCTGTAGCTGCGGTAGAAGGCGCCCAAACCCTCAGTGCGCGTCACTGTTTGGAGACAGTCCACAAGTCCTCGATATGGCGAGTTGTACATTTGCATCCTCTGCTTTACCACTGAGCCACGGAAAGACACGAGCAACCGCGTTAGCATGATCCATCGCATACAACTTTATACTTTATTCAAGTAATGATCTTGAAGAAGTCACTTTTGCCGAATGCGGAAACAATGAGGGAACTGAGCCTATGGCCCACTGTGATTCTAAAGGTTATGGCCGAGATTATTTTGTATTTTTAATTCCTGTCAATGTGTCCCATGAAAACAAACCCAACAATGCATCTGTTTGTTTGTGTGACCTCCCCTGACTGTGGCCAATTTATTGTTGCTGAATTCTTTAATAGAGACGGGCCACACATGTACAGATTCATTTTTAAATAAGTCCAGATAATTTCGTTAAACAGCTGCGCAATGTTTTACTCAACACAAACAGGAGGAAAATGGCGCATTTGCTGTGGACTATTTTCTGCTGAGGATTAATCTACATCTACATACAAAGTATATGGGGTATTGGAAACACAGAAAATACTTGTTTTGTTCACTGAAGGTTTTGTTCTTTTCATGGGATTTGTTGACAACAGGGAAATCATTTAAGTTAAACAACTTTTTCCATTAAAAGTGCAAGAAAGAACCTTTTATTTTTCTTACCTTCAGCTGGGTTCATGATGGCATCATGGAGAACAGTGGCCACACTACCCGCCAAACCTGCAAGTACATGAACATATCTGTCAGGTCTTAAATGAATAAAAATATCAATGTTCAGTAGAGGTCGGGGTGATTCACCAATTTTTCATGCTGTTTAAATGCTAAAATACACTGCATATCCCAGATAGCATGTTTGATTTTTTCATATTTAAAATATGGCTTTATAACTCCTTATGTAAACAAGATATGGCATTAAAATGATGCATCCTTGTTGCGTAGCCTAGTGTGAAAGCCGTTGGATCACTCGATTGTAGTACTGTGTTGGTGGAACACGTACCATTGGCCAAATGGCTGTTGCCTCCACTCTGCATGACGTCACTTAGAGAGCGTTTGACCTGCTCATAGCAGGCAAAGTAGAGCGCGTGTGCGGGCCCCGCTCCCATCATGGTGATGTTGAGGCCCCTCAACGGTCTGAAGACCCCCTCAGTCTGGGTGATCCTTTTCAGAGCCTGGTACACACCCCGGTACTGTGCATTCGGGTCTGGCTGCAGACTCTGCATCCTTGTCTGAAAAGAATAAAAGAGATTTTTAAACCATTGTTCATCATTTAAAGCTAACTGAAGGCTCTGCGTGAATGGGACTCCAAGTGGCTTTAAAGTGCGCACCTGTAAGCCAACGAATGATTGATGCATTGTTTCCGCTCGGGCCGTCACATTGTTCTGACATTAAGTGTGGGAGGCTGGTGTGGGAGGCTGTGGCAGCTTTGTTTGACTCAACCATGCCAAGTTATCTGGACACCACAAAGCATGTTTGTATTTGCAAAGAGATCTGGGGCCGGCTAGGCTACGTCTATCTCCTGCAGCATGTTTCCTTCCTCTGGCTTAACAATAAAATATCTCTTTCATTTCCGTTTGATCCAGATTTTGGTACTTGGGGCACACAGAACTTTGGTAGCACGGTTAATATTTTAAGTTAGCATGGCTGAATTTATGCAAAAGTGTGATTCTCTTTTTTTAAAGGCCAACAGAGAGATACAGTTGTTTAAAGACTTACAATATCAGTTTGCTTTCAAGATAATCTGAAGGGCAAATTATTCTGGGCGAGTAGAAAGCGAGCCGCAGGCCGTTCAAACTGTACCACAGGACCGGGCTCTTCTATAGTGACAACTATATGACGACCAAACGCCTAATACTCAAAGTGTATGAACAGATAGTGAAGTTATAGTTCGGTTTAACCCTCTGAAATTAGGTTAAAATTTGTTATGGTCTGCGAAAAGATGTGAACACTAGAGAAAAATGGTGTTCATTTATCAACACAGAATGACTACTGGCCTGGCCCAGATATCTCATTATCAGACTGTTTACTCTCTCATACTGATAACAGCATTGGTTTTAAACAGTTGGGCTGTATCCACACTGTGGTGAAGTCTGTCACATGCAACAAGTATCCGTGTTTGTCCAACGAAAACAAATCGTACTTTCGTAAAAACATTTTACGATCACACGGACCGCACCAACGAGAGAGTGCAGCAATTAAAAAGTCAATCAAAATGCTGAGTCAACAACATTAAGTGTGTTCAGATTTGGACGTGAAGAAAGCTGTGGTCTAACATGGAACTTTAAGGAACCATTAAGACAGAAGATGAAATGTAGTGAGAAACTATTAGTCCAGCAGTTTAGGGTCTAACTTTAGAACAAGCATGCAGAATAGATCCTTAAGTTTCTACAGTAATCAAATAATAGGACTAAACATGAGCACTGTCTGCATATAAATACGTCATCTATATAATTGTCCACTAACAATCATTTAAGCACAATACTAAAACAAGGAAACACCCCCCCTTCTATTACATCACACAGCTTCAGCGGTCCTGGCTCTGTGGCGGTTTTCTAATCAACAGAAGAGCAGCCACACACACACACGCACACACACACACACACACACTTCACTGCAGGAGGCTGATTCCAAATGTGCACAACAGCGATAAGATCCACCTCCTTGCATTAGCTCGGGATACTCCCCGAGTCCTAGCTGTGCCGGTTCATATTGTACTTGTGGGAGGTTGAAACATACCGGTTGAAAGGTTCAGTGGAGAGTGTTACAAGTATCCACTAAAGCAAGTCGTAGTAAACCGACGTTCTCGACCTCGAGCTTGATGTGAGACACCAACTCGTTACTTTAACCGAACTTACCTTGGAAATAAATTAGTTATTTTACATTTTGAATAAATTGAAAAACAGGTTCTTTGTTAACTCCAGACACACACTGATGAAAGTGAACGAGCGCCTCCAGCTGAAAGGTGCTTGTGTAAGAGTAGAAACCCTGAGAGGAAACAGCAGCAGCGGTTTGTGTAATCGAGACACACGAGGATTCATTTGGAAAGACTACGACACTGAAACAATGAGGACATAATGTCATTTATTTTTCTTGCAGTTTGTTAATGAAGTCGTCTGTGCCACACCAAGATGAAGATTATCAAAACAACACTATATTGTTGGGCAGAAGAGGTTGTTGGGGCAAAGTTCACATTCAAACCAACAGTTTGTGATTTACTTTACAGACACAAGCTCAAAGTTAGACGTTCATTTAACTCAGCATCTGAACATGAACTTCAACAATGGCCTTTAACCCAAAGATGGCACTCATTGATGAACAAAAAACACACATAAAAAGTGCTGACGTTAAGAGGGAGTGATGATCTCTGGTCCAACAATTAGACATTCACAGAGCATCGCCTCAGTAATTTGAGCCTTAGGTACGAATGACGTTAAACCAATTTTGAGGTTTGTTTTAACAAGAATGAGCTCAAAATAAAAATATATGCTATGAATAAATAAATAAATAAATAAGCTCATATTATGTACATATGCTATATGTATGTGCACTTTACCATTTGTAATATCTGCTTGGATAAAATGCATTTTGTTGTATTTGCAACAACAATAAATTAAGTTAAAAACAACACAATAAATAAATGTCAAAGTGAATAGATTGAGACCATGTGACATATTCTCGGTTAGATCATGTTGGACATTTCAACAGGGACAGTTAACTTTCGTTCATTGGTCAATCAATTAGTGCTCACAGGAGAAGACTTTGTCGCTGCACTAACATACACTAGTTACATAGTTTTGCAACATTTAGACAATGAATTGAAGACCCTTTAATATTGGAGGTAACGTTGAGTTTTGACACATTTTGACATATTTTGCAGCCAAACGAGGTGCTTGACCTTCGCTTACCCTACGTATGAGTAGGGCGAGTCTGGGTAACTCATGTCGTAACATTTATTACCTAAAAACTAAAGAAACACAGGAGAGCATGGACACGTTTCTACACACAGCCAAACGAGCTCAAAGTGAGGAGACCTTTGCTCTGACCTCGCTGAAATGCGAGTACATTCAGGTGACACTGGACCTTCAGCTCAGCTACGTTAGCAAAGTTAAACAGTTACATCGCGAGAGAAGCTACACCTATAACTACATGCCCGGTGTAGCTGCAGGAGCACGTGGTGTTTTAATTAAAGTAGCATCACCCTGCTCAACTAGTTTGTTCAGTAGGCTGTGGAGCTTTCATGAGCTAACACCGAGGCTAACTAAGGATGGGCAGGTTGAACACTTTATGGCTAATGTTCGTTAGCACGCAATAGCACGCTTGTCTTTAGAGTTAGCAGCGTAGTGGGTGGTTGTTAGTGAACGAGCCGTATGTGTGTGAGCCGCCTCTGCGTTTGCGTTACCTTGACAGAGTCCACCGGGTACATCACCGTGTGCTCCAGGACGCCCGCCACGGCTCCTGCTGTCATGTGGGTCCCCACTGAGACATGAGGCGGCAGGCTCTCGTACTCTCCGACGCTATCATCGTCTTTGCTTTTCTCCAGCGACGCCACCACAGGATCCGAGCTCAGCTCCATGCGTGGAGAAGCGCGCGCGCTCTCTCTCTCTATCTCTCTCTCTCCCTCCTCGGTCTTCCGCAACGAGATAGCACGCTCAGTCAGAGAGGTGTCGGCGGCGTGGACAACCACAACACCATCTCTACTTACGGGACTTCCAGCGCCCGTGTGACGTCGACAGCTGGGAGGCGTGGCTACTGTGACAGTGGACCAATCGGTTCGCGGCTCCTCAACAATAGGGCGGGCTATTGGTTGAAGGCGAGCAATGAAAAGTTTCCGTGGTGGACTGCGCTGCCGTGTATCCCTGCTCGTGTCTGTTTTTGAATGGGTTTGACAGAAGGGTAATCGCAGTGGTCCTTCTTGAATAGATTAGTAGGTTTGGTCTCCTTATCACGCGACATCTGTTTGTGTTATTACTATAGATAACTCGTGCAGCTCTCGTACCAGTGGTGAACGTACTATTCAGATCCACAGGTAGCATAGTTTTACACAAGTACAGTACATACATATTGACATCAGATAGTTATCATAGGCTAAGTGTTCATTATGCAGGGAGGCCCCGTTCCAGAGAGCCAAATTCTTAATATATTGGATTATTTTTTACTGATTCATTAACATATAAGCATTTATATAATGCTGTTATTGATCGAGGTGAATCCCATACTTTCTACTTTGTATATTTTCTGATTATCAAGAACATTGCACCATATTTTATTAACTGATCATATGTATTGTAAATAAAATCTGAAAGACTTGCAAAGTAACTTCTGAAATACACATGGGGGTGCAACAAGTATAACATCTTCATCTGAAATTCAGTACAAAGATAATGATAATAACAATAATATGTATAGTTCTTTGCAAGCTGGGAGCACAATGTGCTTTCCATAGACAGCATAAAAAGAAAAAAAAGATTAAAATGATCGATTGAGGGAAAAATAGAAGTAGCAAAAGGGAACATTTCTTACTTTTGAATAATTATTTTATTAGTTATTTCCTCTTCTGGATACTTAACTTTCTAGATCAAAAAAAGTATCACAAGTATTCCATTCAAGAAGGTAAAATGAATAAAGAGAGCTTGCATAACAACGTTACCCTCTTACATTTGAACATACTGATCTGCACACATCAACCTTACTTCCCGTCAAAGGGGTGCACCACATCCATGCTTTAGTTTCAGCTCCTGAATAAGAAGTGTAAATTAGCTGATACTCAGATAATCTGCTGATTTGACCAAATATACTAAAGATTCATTGGTTCTGCCAAAACCACTTTTATTTTTGCACATCACAGAGAGATCCGACCCTTTTGTTTCCTCAATTTTGATTGGTAAATGATGTATAAAACTAGGCCGCGTGACTTACCATTGGCTGAAACACAAAGCCTTCTGCAGTGTCATTGTGGGGGTGTTGGCAAAGCAGTGTGACATATCAATGACTCAGCGTTATAGGAGCCTTGGATCTGAAAGACACACTTGTTTGACCAGTGTTGTTACAGCAAGTATACACATGTTTAACAGGGAAACTATGCTTCTCCATGTTTTAATGGTGGAGAAGCATAGTTTTGTCTAACAGAACGAGCAATTGGTTAACCAAACACTTTGTATTATAAGAACTGTGCACATTTTCACAGTAAAAGTATCTTCCCATCCGAGTTATAATCTGTAACTAGAATAATATACGGATTTATAATGTACTAAAGTTATTTTACTGTGGGAGTAAGTGAAAGCTACTACGGCTACTAATATCACCTAGTGGAGAACGCACAAGGTGGCGTAGTGTCCCACATGCAGAGTGCATTAAGTATTAACTCTTCTCTCACACAGAGCGCATTAAATGCTGGATGATGGGAACCTGGAAAGCTCCATTGATTGTTTAATTATTACACATTTGTCATAAAGTGGACAATTCTTTCAGCAGTTATGGCAAAACTGAACACTGGAAGGAGCCTCGATGAAGACATTCGCTCAGCATTTCTAATTATATACCATCACATTTGTCCATTACCTTTTCTCTTTATCAATTTGTATGTCTAAAATGGTCTTCGGTATATGCGCTGAGGTTATATGGTAATTATTGACTGAAAGGAAATTCCTCAGATCATGCACAATGTAATCATGTTAAGTTCCTTCATATTTGATCATGCTGAATCTGATCATGTAAGCTTTGACTGAATGAACCCTGGTCTGATTACCTAACTAAGGAATGGTTTCCCACCTGGATGCCAACATCGAAATCTGTAGAGAAGACTGGGATAAACTCTTGACTTTTCAGTGGCAGCATAATCTTTAAGAGCGACTGATTTCAGATTCACACCAATGAAATACAGATGCACTGTTTGATTAGTCTGATCTCTTCCTCGTGAAGTAAACAGCCAGACAAATATACCATAAAAACTTTATTACTGAATTGTAATGTGACATTAATTTCCCCTCCATCTGTGCAAACATTTCACTTTGATTGTTTTCTTATAAATAATGGGGCACGGGCTCTCATTTACAATCCCCTCACAGCAGTGATATGACGGCTTCTGAAAATGAAGTCAAACATAAATATATGCAAAAGTACCAACTTTAAAGTCAGATGACCCAACAGAAGAATGTCAGCAGGGCTTTAAGAGAGAGATGAATACTTCTATTCTTGACAAAAGAAAATACGTGTTTTGGAGAGTTCCCCACCAGTGACAGGACATGTATTGCACTAGCATAGCTCTTAAAGGCTACTTGTCTTGTTGAGGCATAACAATTTGGGAGAGATGCCAAAAAACAAAAAAACATTCCAGCTGGAAAGTGCATCTCAAGTCCTCCCTCCACCAATTATAACTAGCATTGCATTTGAGGTTCCTGTAGAAATAGCGAGTGCTTGTACCATTTAACTATAAAAAGAAAAGATGTGATCATAGACATAAAAGGCATAAAGAAAGGCAAATGTCCAACTTTGTGAAACGCAAAGTATAGACTATAGATTGAAGATTTGATAGTGAACAAAGTACCATTATGTTTGTCTTAATTAAACAAATAAAACAGAAGACACCTGGAGGAAAGAATGTGGATTCTAAAAAAGGCCCGTCATTACTAAACAAAAATAACTTAAAACCCAAAACATTTTCATGGCTCAGGTAAGCCTGAAGACTCGTATATAATCTTCCCGATATGTCCAATTCTCAATAGATATTCTCAACAAGCAGATGGCCTCAGAGTCAGACATGCTTTCCAGACTTTTTACGCTCTAGAAAGTTTAGAGGTTGATAGGAAGTGTGGGTGACCCGAGGCCCTCCTCTAACCACGGCACAGAGGAAGGGGCGCAGCGCCGATGGATGCGACGGAGTCGCAGTAAGTACAGCATAATGGACAACAACACGATGAAGAAACAAGCCAGGAATAAGTAGTGGTTGTTGACAAAGGAGAAGCTGTGCCGCCAGTGAGAATGCACTCCTTTCAGGCTTTCAAGAGGGATGTCCCTGGAAGAGGCAAAACAAATATATATATATATACCCATACATGTTAGACCTGCTTTGAACAAAGAAATACTGTGTGTGTATACAAAAATGTCTTTATATCTTCAGACCAGATGAAGTTGCATGCTTTCAATGTACATGCAGAGGAACATTTGATGAGAATCAAACCTACTACACTACAATCCTATACAAAGTAAGCTGGATCAGGACCCAATAGTCTATTTATAAATCACCTAGATCATGAGCTCTGAAGATTAGCCAATCATTCCTACTCTTACACTAACCAACAGGTTATTAACGATCATTACTGAAGGTTTTATCAGTAAAGTGACAAAGAACGAGGTAAACGTGAGAGAGAATCCATCTTACCTCAAAGGCAGAAAGCGTGTTCTGTAGAGAATAGCTCCAAGAGTCCACTGGACCTCCTTATCATAGACCAATAGAGCAGTCTTCAGGTTTGTATAATTGGCTGGGAAAGAGAAGCCCGAGTGCAATACTTCATACATCCATGCTGATTTAAAACACTGGTACCTGCAGACATGAAAATGAACAATGAACAATCTTTATTTTGAGCGTTAGAAGCAGTTTGACGATCCTGTGTGACTCACTTCAGTCTGTGGAGGTCAGCATGTGAGGCATACAAGCCAGAGTCAAAGCGTTCCCTCAGAGTCTTCCACTGGGTGGAGCAGTAACTCTGTAAGTGTTAAACGACAACATCAGGAGGGTTTCTAGTGGTAGGACACCAACAAATAAGACCTCAACCTCCTGTTGCTCCCAAATAATTAGGGACTAAGTGGTAACTCTTTGAGGGTTTGTGTGGCATGCTTCGTGAGAGTAGATGTGATCTTTCTATGTAGGATATACCTTGGCAGCCCGGGCATACTTGGAAGCGTTATAATCCCCCCCCATGCGCAGCACGTCCTCCGTGCAGTAGTAGAACTCGGAGAAGCCGTAGAACTGACTGTGGATGTAGTCGATGGCTGGCTGGTAGATGCCGCTGAGGGAGGTTAGGGTCTCGTTGGTGAGGTTGAGGAACGGCTGGAGGATCCGTCTACACGTGTCAAAGTCTCCTGTGCCTCGCAGGTACAGCTTCTGTGTCGATGGGCCGATTTCATCCTGCAGGTCTGCAGGTAGACAAGGGTCCAGGAGGGGAGAGTCCGCCGTCTCACCCGTATGCTGACCTAACAGCCTGGAGAGACCAGTCATACAGTGTAAATACACATAGTACTCTGTACTGACTGGGAAAACATTTACCAAAGTAAAATGAATAAAACAGCGACTGCTGTGGATCTCACTTGTTTTGCGTGGTAGTATTTCTGATGACACTCTCCTCGTATCTTTGCCGTGCTGCATTTCCTCCAAACCCCAGGAAGGTGGACACGTAAACACGATAAACATGCTCTGTGCGATGTGCATCACACCCCAAGTTGAACTCGGCCAGTAAGTTCTTGGCAACTTCCTCCTGAGGAACAAGGAAAAAAATCAGTCTGGGAATAAAGACACTCTTATGATGATATTAATATTTATCCAAAATAAATATTAGTATTTCTAGTTTATTGTATCTCGAAACATAGAAGCTGAAACTATCTGACAAGTTGATGTGAACCGAGCATCATGCAAATGAGCCTCATCCATCAACTGCTCTTAAGAATGTCTTCTTAAAACACATTTACACGTGGCTGCAAAATACGTTTTCTTCAATCCTAATAAAGGAGAGAATTACTATGATATTTCTTATCTTTTTTTAAAGTGGAAACCTCTAACAGTGATCACAGTGACAGTCATTAAACAATTATATGGATCAGAAAGCTTTGGAGAGAATAATTCCGTAACAGATTATGTTTAAATAAAAAGCTTAAAGAAGTTTAGTGTTTATTTTGGGTCTTTTCACTGAAACTAGCACCCAGCTGTGGCGTAGTAGCCTATTTGCACTACTGATGTTACTGTATTTGTAAATGACACAATACTGTTTTAGGCTACAGCCTAATTATAATATGAACTGCAGTAAGTACATTTTAAATACAGTACTGCACTCTATTGTATTTTAATCATACACAGTACAGTATACAGCAGTTTGAAAAGCATTTGAAACAATAAATATGATTCATAAAATAGCTGATTGTTTCATTACTTTATATTCTTGAAATAAATATACAAATGTAAATTAGAAAGTAATCTCAAAGGTTTTAAAGGTTTTCACTGTATTTTACAAAGTATAATGCTCTTTTAAAATGAATAAACCCTCTTTAGACTTTCGCTTGGGCGCCTGAATTTCTGTGTGTGCACAAGGCCCTTTTATTGGGGAGTGGCAGGGTGTTCACCTTTGCTAACTTGGATAAAATGGAACACTCATTCAATTTACGAGGACGACATTATAAGAACACACGCACGGACATTTCTGTGGTTAAAGAACACATCGTGAGTCTGACGTAGACTTCTCTTGGATCGTAGGAAGATATTGGTGAATGAGGCCCAATGAGAGCAAAAAGCACCATTAGTGTCTGCCAAACTGGCTTATGTACATAAATCACTCACAACACAAATAAATAATCTTAACATGAGCAACCTCCATTGCATCCGAGGGTCACTACGTATGTGGCTCAATGTTTTCAGTTCATAAATCCTGCTATGGGGTCATGCAGCAGGCTTACAGTATGCCTTCAATAGTGATGAATGGAGAGCAGACCATCTCCACGGGACAAAAATGGTGCACACAGGGTTTAACCAGGGAATGAAAGAGGTTCAAAGGAGGGAGAAGAACAAAGGGTGAGTGACAAAAAACAAAGACAGCACAAAAAACAGAATTGGTTGTGGGTAATAACCTGCTGTGGAGAAGCAAAGCTTACAGTTTTGGGAACTTCATAAGCGATCTGAGTGGAGACCCCGCCCATGTCCAGGACACCTGCAGTCCTTTTCCTCATCAACGCCTCCTGCTGCTCGCTGCCTGGGACATGAACCTCCACTACAGCTTCGCCATCTTGACAGGTTGACAGCAGAGAGGTGACAGAGTCGGGCAGAGCAGGGATATCACGTGACTACATATCTTTTAGTGTGGCAGACCAAACAATTTACTTTTTAAAATGGCAAACTGTGGAAATATGACGTGCTTGGGTCCTTACCATTGTGCACATGGTTAAACCTTCCGAGGACAAAGTTTATTCCAATCCATGCATAGACACCTAAAGCAGATTATTACAAACGGTTATGTTAATATATAAACGTTTACCAGCATCTAAAATCAATGACGTGGTGAATCAAAACTATGACATTGTATTGAATACATTAGAATCTAAATAAATAAATACAGCAGTTGCACTCCAATACATTTTAGCTCAACATACAGATTAGCATATATTCCTATTATCCCTTTTATTTACCTTCCTGTTTTCCAGAAATCACTTCCACATGGGAGTCAGAGAAGAGGAAGTTGAAGTGGACCGGGATGTCAGTTCGCAGATCCTCAAGAAGCGCTTCTTGTTGACTGAGTTTAAACAATCACAAAAACGGCCTCATAACATGGCATTCATAACATTAATGCTTCACGTAGCATTGCTTAGACCTTCTGTATGAACATTTCTTGTAACTATATTTGTATCTGGGGCATCTGGAAGCATTGCAGGTTTACATTACAAGATTGTGCTCATTGACTGTACCTTTCGGGAAGGATTCTCATTCCGGCTGTGCACAGGATGTATAAGGGTGTTTCTTGGTGCTTATTTTTGGGGATGTGTTGGGCTGCGAAGCTCAGCAGTGGATAGATATAATCACTGGCTTTCTCCGGTGTTTTAGCCAATTCAGAGATACCTACAAGGAAAAACACAAAGGACCAAAAATATATTTTACAATGGGTAAAAAACAAGCTAGCATGTAAGGTTTTCTTTTTACATTTGAGTCTTTAAACTGTTAAATAATGCACATGTCCTCTCCTTTAAAAACTGTATTTATGTAGCCAGGCGTATCTCACCTGGTTTGATCTTCATGACCACCGGCTTGCGGTGTTGATCTCTCATTTGCCGAATGTCCAGAAGCTCGTGGGGATTGCCATTATGCCGGGGCCAGCAGTACACAAACACCCTGGAGCCACTGCTGCCGCAGTCCACCACCAGGCCATAGTTCAGGTTGGGGTTGCTTGTATCTGTTGCATCTACATCACTCACCTTTGCCAAGTGCCTTTTGGACAACAGAGAATTGTTCAGACGATATTGCCCGTGTTCACCACGACATAAACACTGAGGCGGATGTTGAGCAGTTTACCTGTGGAAGTGATTTTCCTCTCTGATCCAGCTGGCGTGCCCCTTCCCAGTGACAAGCAGCAGGTAGAGCAGTCCCATGAGGCAGAGCACCAGGCTGATGAAGAGCAGCTGTCTGAGGGAAGGTGTCGGGAGCCGAGGAAGAACCTGGGACGACAGGCTGAAGTGCCACGAGGCTGGGAAAAGGCACGAAAAGCTGATCCTGTCAACAGATGTAAGAGAGGAGAGCCTGAGCAAAGTAGGCCTAACATTGTCACAGATATGAGATATGATGAGTTTATTAACTAATCCACATTCCCACAAATGACAGCAAACCAACCTTCCCATGATGTAGATGGTCTTCTACTTGTTAGTACTTTAATTGTAAATTAAGAATCCGTCTGCTGCAGATCGGAGGCTTGTTCCACGGCTCCATCCCATTCTCCCCACTTGTCATCGTGACCTTTTAGGGCAAAGGATCAAACATGTTATCATTTGTCAGGTAACTTACGTAAGCCTGACGTAAGCGGTGCGATTAATGAATGCCGGTATGTTCGATATATTGCGACGTATCACTGCTTTAACGGGCGATTTTAAACCAATTCAAACTGAGCCAAATGTAAAGGACGACAGGGGAACACCATCGTTAAAAATAAAGAAGTAACGTAACGTTTCCAGACGTCAACTAACGTGACGTGTTAGTGGGGGCTAACAAGTTAGCTAAAAGAGCTGAATTTGACACCATGTTACGAACTGTCAGTGTCAACACAGCACAGTTATATGTTCGTGGCCTTTAAATTATTTCATACTTACTAGCAAAAATATGAAAGTCCCCCCTTTTCTGGACAAAATGACATATCTGTGCAGCCAGATGCTAACCGCTGGCTAATGTTTAGCTAGTATGTGGCAGGTCTCGAGCACGGTGCGTTTGATTTCTACTCCACGTAACCCGGATAACAAGTTTAGGAGCAGAACGCAGAAACCACATAGAAGCCTAAACCGCCCAACATTCTTCTTCTTCGTTTTCATTTAATAGCGGGTTGCAGCCAACATTAAGGCGCATTACCGCCACCTACTGGCTGGTGAACCAGGAAAAGAATCACTCGATGAATCACTGGTCCGGTTTGTTTCAAGTAACGTTTATCAAGTAATTTAATACATTAAACTGGTGTCGCCCAGATTATAAATTCGTTTTAGATCTGTCATGATGCATTTTTCATAACTGATAAATGCTTGATTTTTTTTGATTGCCTATTGATATTTGTTTTTTCTACGGTTCTTACCGTTACCATTACATTAAATACAAAAGTAAGTAATAATTAACCGTATAGCTCACAAATACTGTGCTAACCTGTTAAAGGTATGGGAGGGGATGTCAGGTGACCAGACTGACAAGAAGGTCTGAGGTCATCCAGTGGATGGTTTGAGGATGGCAGGTCTGAGGATTTAGAGAACACATGACCTGGAGGAAGTGAGCAGGGGATGGAGACATGACAGAGCCAGGCCAGGCAAAACATACAACCAGTTCGAATCAGAGCAATAAGGACTCAGATTGAATCAATTCATTCTGGAGATATTCTCCAGTTGAACAGAGACAATATTTTGTTCCTATTATGTTTTGAGCCTAACTCTTTATCAATTAATCAAACTGAGGGTTCTGAATGTGCTCACCTCTTAATGGTATTGCAGCTGTATAGTATGTGTAGTAATATGCAAACCATTTGTTTTATTTTTTCTCTTACATTCTGAATTACCATACTTACTTTGTTAACCTTGTGCACTATGCTTTGGCAATATCGGACTATGGTAACCATGCCAATGAAGCACATTTAAATTTGGATGCTTGCCTATCAGATAGTTTACCCGAGTTATGTTTGAACTTCTTCTCGTTCATGCTCCTTTCTGCTAGTCACCCCTGAACAGAGGAACAGTAACAGCTCTTCTTTATTGCAACTTACTAAAACACCATTCAAATAGGTAGTAATCTGGGTACCCGTTGTTCAATCCATATCAAATAATCAACATTGAAAAAAATTGAATTAAATAAATAAAATCTGTCTTGAAATATCTTGTGATATACCCAGATAATTAATAAATATAAATCAATTTCATCTAGATATTCAGTAAATATAAATACATTTCACCCAAATATTCAGTAAATATGAATCAATTTCCACCAGTTATTGTAAATATAAAGTAATTTTGATGTTATTCTCAGTAAACATAAATCAGTTTTCCTTGTGAAATATAACTCGTCATTTGGTGTGCTGTTACTAAATCCAACACATTTTAACTGTTGCTTTTATTATCATTTACATGTAATTCATTTATTCAATACTTTTTACTCAAAGTTGTAGTACTTAAAATCGAATCAATTATATTACGTGTCACTTTGTTGCCATCACTTTTTTAAGTAAAAATGTTTTTGCACTGTACCGAAAGGACACTACATATACAGTACGTACCACCTCACGCATAAGACACATGTTTCCTGTTCAATCCATTACCTTGGAAAAACAAAACAGTCAAAAGATCTATTGGAAACACAACGGAGAAACAATTTATTCAAGGCCCAAGTATTCAAGCAAGAATATATTGCAGTCTGTCAATGAAAGAAAAACTGTCTGTAGAATCAATGTTTAGCGTATAATAGGACTTTAGTTACAAAAATAACAAAAGTGATAGAGTTTTAGTCATACATACATAGATATATAAAGTATTATTCATCCACCTTCAACGGTGGTGCTCCTGTATTGGAAGATGCTCATCTCTTCACTAAGACCAGACAACTTGGACTTTACTGGACGTCTCGCAGTTCAACCACTCGAGCTGACTGATCCGCCAGCAGTAACTCACATCTACATACTTGAGTCTCTGGCTCCGTTGCATTAAACTTCTCACTGTTAGCATCTTCACATCGGTGCGCGGCAGGTCAATACGTTGTACCCGTCCAAGTGGCATGGGAGGTGAGTTTGTGGACTCTGCAAAGAGGTACTGGTCCAAGTCCAGTACGCGCAGTACATCCTCTAAAACGCAGTCCAGAGGGCAGGGCAGGGAGACCAGTGAGAGCTTCTCCAGTAAAGGAGAACCAGCCAGGAGACACTTGAGCACCCTCTTCAGGGACATCCAGGACATGACAGGCTTCATTTGGCTGTGCTCATACGAGAAACTTTAGACACAGAGACAAACAAAGAAGATGGATTACTATAACAGGAAGTAGTAGTAGTTATAGGTCAAGGTTTACCTAAAGACCTTTATCAAATTAGGATTTAAATTAAATTAAATTGAACCTGCTTTAAATAAAGATGTATTGGCAGGTAAATGACACAAAAACAGCCTTGTTCAGTGAGTTAGATGCATGGATCTACACCGTTTCCATTTTCATTTTACTTCAATACATATCGTAGATAAGATATGTGTTAGGTTTGTGAGAAACGGCCTTATTTCCCTTGTCAGTCACCGCATAGCTGCGTCAAAGACATGATTACATGTGCAGTCTGTATCAAGAGCAAACCGTAAATCCACCGACTCACAAACAAGGGTCGATAGTTCCTAGTGTACTACGTAGCGTATCAATAGTAGCCTTACTTGAGTGTGAGAGAGCAGAGGTTGGGCAGCTGTGGAAGATCCTGTCCGTCCCCCTGATCCTCCTCGTCTGCTGCTCCCTGTGGGGTGGTGGGAGGTTCGGCAGAGATGAGCAGGTCTCTGAGTCTGGGACAGGCCTCGATGACCTCCAGTAGTGGGGTGCGTGGGCTGGTTTTCACCCCCTCCAGGATGAGAGAGACCAAAGAGGAGCCTGCAACTTGCAAGGCAGGAAGGAGATCCGCCAGAGGGCCGGGGTAGTGTACCGAGAGGCTCCGCAGCTGGCCTGACCACGTCTGGAGGCCTGCGGCTAACAGAGACCCCTGGCTTCTTCCTCCAGTATTTTCAAAATCATCAACGTTCACAGATATGGAGTAAATGTTTGGACAGGCACGACTTAAGCTGTCCAAAGAGTCGCATGATAAACCCTTGACGTCCTTCAGGAGCAGGATCAGGCGTTCATCACCTGACGAATCTCTTCCTCTCTTTTTGTTCTCCGTTTGGTTCAGAGAGCAATTTGGCCCTTCATCTCTACTTGCATCTTCCTCACTCTCACTACCATACCCACCCCACAATATCCCTTCCTCCTCCTCCTCTTCTTCTTCACCTGCTGCTGCTCCTTCTCTCTTTTTCCCCCAACTGTCCATGCCTTGCCTGTGCCTCCACTCCAACCACACCTCCCCCAGCCTGGGAACTCCTTCTCTGTCAGTGAACTCCTCTGTCTGGTCGAACCGTCTGTGCTGGATGAGACAGCAGGCCTGTGTAAGGCCCTCCATGGCCACTCTCTCCAGGCTGGGCAGGGAGAGAAGGAGGTAGGCTGCTGCCGCCACAGGGTCTCCCTCTTGTTCCCCAAACCCAATATCCAAAGCCAGCAGACTGCTGAGGGGGAGAGGTGCAGAGCAAGAAGAGGAAATAAAAGACTTGGAGGTGCAACGAGGTGACCTAGAAGGACAGTCAGAGGACAGGAAGGATCCCCCACCTCCAAGAGGAAGAAGAGCAGCAGGGGAAAGTAAATGACAGCGGGATATGTCCAGATGGCGCAGCAAACGACAGCGATGGGCAATCGTCTTGATTACACATCTGTCACAAGGTGTACCAGCCAAGGAGAGCGAGCGCAGGGCTGGAAGACAGCACAGGGTTTCAGACAGGACCTTTGAGAGCAGCTGCTGGCCTCCAGACAGGTCCAGGCTCCACAGACCCTGAGACAAGAAGGAGGAAATATAAAGACATTAAGGAATTAAAGGCAAAAAGAGAAAAACAGAACAACTTTTACTGTGCTTATTAAATTATAAATTGTGTCTTCCACTGCTGTTTACAGTGATTCGGGGGACACATCCAGGAAAAAAACGCAGTTTAATCTGTACTTTTATATTCTGTAAAACCAAAATTATCCCCCGAAAATAAAAAAGTATTATTTTAAGCCCGGAAAATATTGGTTACACAAACAATATACTAAATGCACATCAGGAAAATGTTCTTAATATCCGTCTCATATTTAGCATTTCCTCAGATGTAAATATCTGCCAAACTGTGAGAAACACTGACAAGATTCAAACCAGTGAGTGAACAACATAAAAAGTCAGACATATTTCTGTCTTAAAACAACTGATCCACCTTTTATGCAGATTAAATGATTCTATCTGACCTGGCAGCGTGCAGCAATGTGGGCACAGAGGGCGGAGGTGACCAGACCAGGACAACTTTCCAGAGACAGGCCACGGAGTTGGGGGACCAGCACGAGGTGGAGGGCTGCACGGGTCATCTGCTTTCTGATGCACAGGAGCCACGTCAGCTCCTCGACCAGCTCACCCGCTACATGGAGAGTAAAAGATATAGAAAGAGAGACAGACGTGGATTAGAAGTGATCAGTCACGCTGTAAATCACGTTATCTGTAGAGGAAGTAGAGTTGTAAAAGGCACTCTCATGTGAAATCACATGCCAAACATCTGCAGCCCCTTGTTCAACCTCTGTTATTCCCAGACTTTAATATTCATATACATATTTTTTGCTGATACAGTGAATTGTATGTTGCTAAAGTCCACGTGGTTAAAGGACACGTTACTTGTAAGACAGGAGCATTGTTGTCTGTTAAATAAGCCCTGACACACTCACGCAGGACGTTGAAGGGCCCCATGATGTATCTGAATGAATAATGATCCAGGTAGTTATCCGCATAGTCCTTCGCCCACACTGCCTTCATGTTGTCTGCCAGGCTCAGCAGACAAAGACGTGTCAACGAAAGGACAAGGCCGTTTTTATCGGTGTTCCCGCAGCTCCCCATCCACTCCGTATTCCTCGTCCTCCTCCTCCTCCGCCCGGGCCGAGCCTTTGCCCCACCACGTTCACCCGGAGCCCGGAACAGAGGCATTGCCAGACAGGGAGTGGACTCTGTGTGATGGGGAGGTGATAGAAAGAGAGAAAAACAAACTATTTCTGATACCAAAAACAATTTGCTTTTTTTCTTGCAAATTAGTGAATATTCTTATTTCCTAAGGCTTCTAAAGATAGCGTAATGCATAAAAAGTAAATGCACAAACAATGTGCTGTGTACATATTGTGCAGGACAGGGGTGGCCAAACCTTTTTGACCGTGGACCATATATAAGTCACTGGCCAAACAATAGTAAAGGCGTAGTTTTCATTCAGCTACAATGCAACTAAATCCGTGTATCTAGACCAGAAAACAACATGACATATAACAAATACTTTCTCTGAAAATAACAACACAGCATTACTAGGCAGTTTAACGTTTGACATTAAAGTCACATATTACAAAGAGTATTTCTGTATCTGCTGCTCTTAAAATTTATTTCAATGAATTCAATACTTTTAAACACCCACTTAAAATATGATGACGTTGCGTGTAAATACGGAGATAAGTCAAGTTAAAACAGGAGGAAACTAAAATATTCGTTTGTGTTCATGGTCCAAGTACCCATTTAAGATTACTATTATTAATTAATTATAAAGACGGACTAAACGAGAGGGAGGTATAAGTTAGTTATATCTATTTACAGTAGGACCATGAGTTATATTAGTCAGTGTGTAGGCCTACAGTGTGATATCCAATAAAGAATCATTTATATCGCATTAGGACTTACCTGACAAATCACTTAGGTGTTGTACTTTAAATCTAATCCAATAATCCAATAAATGAATAAGGAATGTAAAGCAAAAGAGGTAAATTTGGCAACCTTTGCTCTGCAGGATTCTCAGCCACACTTCCTGATAATAAAATGTGTTATCCTTTAGCCTGAGTTTAGTCTCTAAGGCAGATTTTCCTCTCAGGCGGTACGGGCTGCTGCCGGTCGGTACCTTTGGTTCCTGCGGTATGTTGCACCCTTAAAATGAACCGTCCAACAACACGTCCATCTTCGTTTTGCAACTTTTATTTACAAACCCCACGGTTAAGCACAAGCACATTTTGCCTTCAGCCTGCATACATCACATTCCCTCCAAACTCTCTTAAAGCGACAGCGCTTTCTTCTAAAGGGTCAGTACACCAACTTTCTTCCCTTTACAGTTAGCAAGCATAACTACTGAAGTAAAACAAATATGAATGAACTTAAACACATATTTAAAGCAAATGTTTTTTACATAGACACACTGATAGTAAATTAGCAAGAAATATGAAATGACATATTTCAGTGCGCTACAGGTACTCTAGAAAAACAAGTAATGTCACATCTTTGCAATTTTGGCATCAACTTACCGAAACATCAGTTTTAACTTCCTTAACAGCCCTCGCTAATTAGGTCAGCTGTGTTAAAGTTAGCCGTGGTTGTGATGAACACGTCTAGTCTGTAACCTGATATCTGCTCTCACACTCTCTGACATCATTCTTATCATTTCTCTGCTAAATTAATTAAAGTGACTGACCATCAAAAAGATTCCATGAGGAGTCAAGTCACAGTGTGAGACTGTGTTTATGGATCTTTAATTGTGTAATCCAGACCTGTATCACCTCCAAGCTCTTCATGAAGAATCCAACATCACATGTGTCATAACTTAAAAATAACAATTCTACATTCTTTCCTTTGATTTTGAAGTTGCGTACAACAATAAAACTTGCCAGAAATGAAGCGGATTTAAATGGTGTGGTGGAGAGTAACACATCCAGTAATGTTTTGGACTTGTTTGGCATCTCTGACCTGTTTTTAATGAGAGAAGTCATAATCATTCTTATTGGTTCATGAGGTTTGGTGACGTTGTGTAATTCCAGCAGAGCTCCACTCAACTTGAGTCCATATCGTACCAAGTCTTAAAGCTGCATTCTCTCTAATGACCACCAGGGGGTCAGTAGAGAGAGCTAGCGTTGATTTTTGTGGTATTTGTAGTTGACTGTATTTGATTCCTCAGTGCGTGCTAGATTGACCCAAATATCTAAGTTTGCAGCTGCAAAATTTGTGGCGAGGAACAACTACATAATATTTTAGCTTAAATTTCTCGTCTCTGCCTCCGGGTATCCACAAGGTGCCGCGCTATAGATGGCTCAAAAACAGAAACTTCCTAAACCATCGGCTCCATTGTGTAAATAAAGTGCCTCAGCGAGCGGGATGACTCGGCTCTCAGGATCAATATAGCTGCACTGAGGAATTTACTGCTTCAATTTACTACATTTAAGATAAACACTGATTGAACCATAAAAAGGTGGTGAAAGTTCCCTTTAACAGCTGGTCATAAATCTGGTTTATTGTCCATCAGTATCATTGGGCAGCACTGTTAATAACTGGCTGAGTGTTTCCTTACTACTAAATTGTTCATGAACACTGTTAAGTGAAGCCATAGTTTTAAAAACACATAACTGCTGAGGTGCAGAGCGACAGAGCTTCTACAAATATGAGAAACAAGCTGCAGTGCAAAGTCATCATTCTGATGAAAAGATGAAAAGTTAGAGCTGTTTTTGCACACACAAAAAGTAAAAGTAACTTGACGAAAACAAGATTCACTTCAAAGTCCAAAGTATCAGGTAAAGGTTTCCAAAAATAAACACCAGACAGAGTCAAATCCTAGGTACAGAAATAAGGTTAAAAACACTCATGAAACTAATGCTGGAGTGAAAACAGTGAAGACAAAAGAAGCCCAAAGACTAAATACACAATGAAAGGAACAGAGATAACGAGGGACAGGTGACAGCAGGTCTGATCAGGAACAGGTGACAACAATCAGGGCGAGGCAGACAATCACACCAAGGGCACAGGTTTGGTCTCAGCATTGGTAGGGACACTGCCAGCCCCCCGCCATATAAAAAAAAAAAACTTAGTTGATATTATGTTGAACAGGCACTTTTATTGTAAAAGTACTGCTGTATGAACAAAAGGGCAATAACACTTGGTTTGCAAACACTTTAAACACATCAGGTGCTTTTTAACAGCAGTATTCCCTTTACACAGTAGCGATCATATTTCTTGCACTATCTGTGCTCAGTGTGCTGACTTTATGTGAAACGTTCCACTGCTGTGCAACAGGAATAAAATGTTTCAGCACGTTTCATCTACATGTCTGTCTTCTTGCATGTGAATGCAGCTCTACTGTTCATCAATATAATGCTGTAACTACGAGGTAATTATGGTGACCCAGCCCAGTGAGCATTTTTCCATTGAAAAGATGTTTAGAATTGGTTGAAAAGTGAAAGTTTTTTCGCCGACTATTTGTAGACGTTGATTAAACGTTCACGCTTAGACCAGATTTCAACGTGATTTGCAATACTATAATTTTTCGTCCTCTACATTGTGCTAATAGTAATATATCATCATTTCCGAGGCTTACTAAGAAACCACATCCACATTTATCAGTTGAAAGCCAGTATTGGAAATCACATTGAAATCTGGTCTAAACGTGAACGTTGAATCAACGTCTTCAAATAGTCGGCTTAAAAACTTTCAATTTTCAACGTGTTTTCAACGTCAAAAGACCAAGTGACACAGGCAACAGTTCATTTGTATTTATTAAGCACAATATAAATATAAACAATGTTCTTTATATAAAACCATAATCTCCTTTTCCTGCTTTAAAAGTTGTTTTCAAAGCCACACAGGAGCCGGTTTCAGGACATCTGCCATATTTTCAAGCTGGACATCTGTAAATAAAACAAGTTTGTAATGTTCGTAAACATGTTCGTAAACAGCTAAAGCTAACATGCTAACACTACAAGCCAGCAGCCTCGTCCGCATGGTGACTGAGCATAACATGATATTAGTGGTATGGTAATGATATTTTGGTTTGCAATATTGGAATAAAGTAGTTCAAGTACTTACAGAGTACGTCGTTAGCGTGAAGCCTCGTTTATTCCGTCAGCACGTTCACTTCGCTCATCACTCAGTAGAGCTAGCTAGCTCAAATCGTGCTGTGTTTCCAGCCGTCTCTAACTTAGAAAAATGCACAGAGTCCGTGCGCATGCGTGTTCCAGCAGTAAACACAGAGTTGTATTTTACGTGAACATACAGACAGAATGTGCTCTGCTCTCATTACCATGTCCTGGGAGCTTCTTGTTGACAGCACACAGTCTATAGTTCCATATTTACGAAGTTTTGTATGAGACATTGAATGCGTTGAAATAACGTCTTCGTGTAGACCACTTATCACCGGCCAGCGTAATATGATTTTGGAGAAATACGTTTAAAGTAACCAAAATCGCGTCTATTTCAACCTACAACTTAACAAACCATCAATATTTTAAAAGAAATTGGTGTTTTGTGACACGTTGATATTGTAACCGTAATTTAGCCGGTTGAAAAGACGGTGAAAATACGTCTAAGATGTTCAGACCCCATTTCAACCAGAAATCAACGTTGAAATCCGGGTTAGTGCTCACTGGGAGCGATCAAAGAATAAAGACACTTTACGCACAATTTAGGTGTATTTTCCCTTTAACTCACGAGATGCAGGTAGCATGTTTTATACTTAATGTGAATATAATTCATACTTTGTTGGCATCTTATTCTGAAAACCGGATGTTCGTCTGAAGAAACCGGATGTTGTTTCACGTTAATCTTTCCGCTAACTTTCAAAGTCCTTCGCTCGCTCCCGATCTGTGCCATTTGAATGTGTTTACCGTGAATTTCAGCATATAGGTGCACTAACATGTAAGTGTCTGCTGAGTTGACCACGGAGATCTGAGTGTCTGCTGACTTTACCGCAGCGATGTCCAGTAGTCTCCATTCCTCCACCGCTGCCAATGAGCAACGGACTTTCAAAATTTAAAAAATGCGCTATAAAATAATTGTCGGCGTTAATTAATTAATGCGTTAACGCGATAATAACGCGTTACCTTGCCCAGCACTAATAATAATACGAATGAGTTTGCAAATATATTGTGCAAAATTATTTTTTCTAACAGGTAATTGAAATCAACAAAATATTGGTGGGGACAATTGTGTCTTTCCCAAACTTTGGTCGTGACTAGTCCCTATGGACCCTATGCAAACCTACGCCCTTGAATCACACACGTCTGAAATAAGAAGGTGAGTTCTCCAGAATTAAACAGGAAAAAATAACGGCAAAAGTGAAGCATGACAACAAGAGAATACGGGTTTGTTTTAGCATTTTTTTAGCACATAGTTTTGGTTTCACGTTTTATTTACCATGACTGAAGTTTTCTTTGGGATTCAACACAAAATTCAGAGCAATTTTATTGCCTCCACATGGCTCTCAATGTGGCGACCTCTGAGCCAGCAGCTGGCAACCAGTGTTGACAACTCCTCAGTAAGGAAAGTAGCTATTGGCTGTCCTAAAAGTCGCTAGAAGTCGCTAAATGACGCCATCGCCTAATTTGCATAATGGTAATGAGCGCTGTAGGAGAGAGGCGGGAACAGCGGTGGCTTTGCGCATGCGCGATTCATTTGCAGTCTGGACACGGAGAGTGCGGGTCTCCTCTTCTGCAGCTGGGACTGCTGCGCGAGGGGCTACTGTGACACCAACCACCTTTGAGTGCTTTGAGGCGGCGGAGGGGCTCGCGACAGCTCCCGCGTGCCGAACGGTACGTGCTTTCACGTCAGAGTCAAAACACCAGAAAAGTCTCCAACAACAGAAAAAGTCGCTAGATTTATCGCTAGTAGCTTTTGTTGTGCAACTATCAGAAACGTGTGTGGTTGATGTAGAAATTCAGAGAACTGGAGATCAATCTGGTTTCCACGTGAACACATGAGCTCCTGACTCTGCTCATTGGTCAGCTGTCAGTGGGTCACAGAGCAGCACAATGCACTAAACTGTCACACGTTTGATTACAATGGGACAAAAAAAACTCAATCCGGCAGATGGGTGAATATGTAACGGTAAAATGTGTTGAATTCCGTGTTATTACTGTGAATTATTTAATAAATCACTCATTTGGCTCAGAAAAAAACTTTCAGAGAAACAGAAACGGTTTGTTGCCAAATACGTTTGCACATTCGAGAAATGTGGTGATTAGTGCATAACAATGAACACAGTGTAATAGTATAAGACCTAATTTAATTTATATAGGAATATGAAAAGGTACAATAGAATAAACAAACAAATCAAGACTACGTTAATACAAGTCTGTTAATAACATGTCATAGAGCGGAAAGTGTTTCAACATTGTCTTGAAATCAAATATTGGTGTCAGCATTGTCCACTGCTCTCATAAATGATAATAGAGTCATAAATAAACCGATAAACGATGTGGCTAAAGTCTCCCTCTTATCTGAGTGTCCCCTGGAGCTCCTGGACCTCACAAAGACAGGAAGGACAGTGTCCAGGTGCAGCAGTGTGGGACGCGAACACACATTTTAATTGGACAGATGACAAAAGGTTACTGTCGTAAACTGGTGCAACTTTTAATAATTCTGCACAGTATTTTCCACAATACTGTGACACATTTTCAATAAAATTACGTAAAGCAGAGGTCTTCAACAGGGGGTCGGTGACCCCAAGGGGGTCCGCAGAGGTACTGCAGGGGGGTCGTGACAATTTTGATATTGACATTGATATCTGTTGACGAGGTATGTTTCTAAATGGCAGTGGCACGGCCTCCCTACTCACTGTACCTTGCACATGTTTAGAATAAAAACATGAATATATGAACCTGTGTATTATTTGAATAGCTTAGTATTGAATGCACAATAAAGAGGTATGTCTATACATGGCACTAGGCCCACTTTAATATAAAACACAATTTTATACAATACATATAGTAGAGGGTCCCTGCTCCATCTCTCTATCAGTTTGGGGGTCCTTGGCCTGAAAAACGTTGAAGATCCCTGACGTAAAGTACTTGTTTATTATATTTTTGCCCAAAAAGCATCCAAATCTACGGTATATTCCTGTATTTTGAAAGAACAGTTCAATACTGTTAGAAATAAGTTGCATCTTTACAGAAATGTATTGTAGTGAACTCATTCCTTTCCTCTGGAAAAAAAAAAATTCCTCTTTTTTTATTCAGACATTTTTGACATATACGTATATATATATATATTTTTAAATTGCTTTCCAAATGGAAATATTGCTCTAATTACGCAGTAGATAGACTTTGCCTCATGTTTCGGTCTGAAGTCACGAACTCGCTGTTCAAAGGCAAATCAGATATGACAGCGATAATCTCATTTGCTACAGGAAGTCATTTTTTTCAGCAGTTTCAGGGAACATGAATCTTGCGGTGTATCATGTGAAACACGCACAAAACCGGAAATATCTGAGCTGAATAGCAAATTAAATGATTAAAATTACATATTAGTAACTATAAATAACTTTGACTTTGTGTTATCTATATGAAAGTGACAATACTGCATTTTAAAAATAGTAATTTCTTTATTTTACAAATATTATATAGAGTCTTAAATACTGAAGGATAACAAATATTTTCAACGCTACATTAAACATTGGAAATTTAAAATGTAAATATAACCGACGGCCTCTCGCACATACCATAAAAAATATAAAAATAAGTCATAACTTTCTGAACCACCCATAGTTAAATCATAGCAGAGTTTAAATTTAAAACATCATCTAATAAACATCACATGCCCAGAAACAGCAGATTCAACACTTCATATTCTGCAGCATGAATCATCAATGTTAAAAATACATTATTGCATTGAGTTTCACCTGCAGATACAAATTTAACTCCACAATATTAAAGTTGTATTGCTTTAACAGCTGTGTGCTCATCTCTCGTCATGGCAGGATTATCGTACATCTCCAGACTCTTCCTGCTGTTCTTCCTCGCCTTCTCATCCTCATCTTTTTTGCAGCACTTGCAGCAGCAGCAGCAGTGTTTGCCGCAGAAGCCAAAGACGGAGGTCACCATGGCGTCCCAGGGCTCCATAGAGTGCAGGGGCCGGGGCAAAAAGTCCCAGCTGCGGAGGCACTGGGGCAGGAAGCGGGGATAGCGAGACTGCATCACGTTGGTGATGATCACAAAGATCACCAACGCAATGATGGGCACGCAGACGCCGACCAGGACTTGCCAGCCGGCCAGCGACAGGCCGAATACACTCAGAGGTAAAACCAAGAAACACAGGAAGAGGTAGAGGCCGGCAAACCAGCGGTATTCAGCCGTATGGTTCCCCAGCCCTCTGGCCAACCTAATGGGCAGCCGTGTGAAGGGGATCGGATACCACAGCAAGATACCCATGATGTTGAAGAAGAAATGGCAAAGTGCAATCTAGAAGAAAACACATATGACATTTAAATAAGGCTGTCAAATATTAATGAACATAAAATTATTTGAGTTAAAAGCAATGCAATTGGCAGAAAATGATGCTGGCATTGAGCGGGATACGTTTCATATCAGCCTCGTCTCACGCTTTCAGAACATCACAATGCCACTTGGTTAACGTTGTGAAACGATTTGTTAAGTTTAGGCAACAACACTAATTGGTTATGGTTTCAAAAACCATCATGTTTGAGTATAATTAATAACCTAACAACATGACTGGCATAAATAGATAATTAAATAGTCCTTGGTTGACTTTCTTGCATAACATTACGTAACAAGCATTAAGTCGACGTTTGGTTTCACATTGGACACGAATGGCGGTCTCCTAAGTGAAAGTCATGTTTTTGTTGGCCCCGCCCTCCCGCCATTACCGGTCTTGTTATTATACGCTCGTTATTAGACAAAATCATTTTCAATAACGGTCGCTCATTGAACTACGTCACTACGTCTGAGCGAATGCAAAAAACGTCCATATTCAACGTATCTGTAGTTTGCAGATATGTACAAACGGCAACATTTATTCTTGGCGACTGGGCTGGTTAAAAGCTACCATTAGCATGCTAACATGGCGACAATGACAATGCAAGCATGTTGATGTTTAGCACGTAGTCGAATGTTAACCATGTTCACTCTAGTGGTTTAGTGTGTTAGCATGCTAACATTTGCTAATTAGCAGTAAAAAGCACAGCTGAGGCTGATGGGAATGCCATTAGTTTTGATGATAATGATGGGGCTCTATGATACAACATTCTATTGTGTAACTTTGTAGCGAGTATAACAAGTTATATTTTCAATTCACTTACTTCCAAATATTTAAAAGCAACAGCTTTTTGATTATTCTCCTGTCTGGCATGTAGCTGTTATTGTGAATATGTGGACCAATGTACCCTACAAGGGGATCAAAGCTATTAGAATTCATCATCTGGGGACCATGAATATCTGTACGTAAGTTCATGGCAATTCATCAAATAGTAGTTGAGATATTTTCACTAAAAACCCAAAATATTGACGCTTGAGGAAAAGTCAAGGGATCACCAAAATCTGTAGGATTCATCCTCTGGGGAGCATAAATGTTTTTATGTGCTTTAATCGCAATCCATCCAACAGTTGGGGAGATATTTCAGTTTGGACCTAAGAGCAATATTGCCATCCATAGACCCACGCTGCTAGCATGGCTAAAAACAGGCACACAAGGGAAACTTTGTATTGCGTCTCACCTGCAGGGAGTTTGATAGTGTTTCTCCAGGGCTAGCCATAGCAGCTAGTATAGCCGTGGTTGTCGTACCAATGTTTGAGCCCAGCGTCAGAGGATAAGCTCTCTCGAGACTAATGACACCAATACCTGGTGAAATAAGATCGACGAGATATAAATCATGGTTACATTAAAAAAAAGACACTTTAATAACATGTTATGTAATCGATGACTTACCAACAAGAGGAGTTATAGCTGAGGTGAAGACGGAGCTGCTCTGAACGATGAAGGTCATCCCCGCTCCCACCAACATTGCAATGTAGCCAGTAGCCCAAGCGAAGGGGAAGGGGAAGTCTGTAGTCAAACAGAATCACCGGAGGTGAGCAATAAACCTGGTGAAGTGTTTTATCACCACAGTGTTTGTGCCTGAGCTTTGTCCGTCACACAGAAGGACCGCTTGGACCCGTAGGCGAGCCAGAAGCAGCAGGGAGGCCGTACCTGTGTCCTCATCAAGGATCACCATGGGAGGGCATGTGTGCTGACTGTCACACAGGCTGGAGAGAGCACGCCGATTATGATTCATTTTTCTGAACTGTGTTGAGCACCTTCTTGATGATGACAGCCACCTGTCCCTTCAGCATGGAGTTGAGCAGCTTGACGATGAGGATGAGGCAGGTGCAGAGGGTGAGCAGGGACAGAGCCAGGAGAAGCCGGTAAGTTAACGTTGACGAAGATGTGTTTGCCTGCAACGGACGGTCAAAGAGACGAATGGCATTAAAGCGTCCACTCAAGGCTTGACTTATGTGACGGCTAAATATAGCCTCATATGCATGACTCACTTAAGAGCGAGCCGTTCTTTGATAAATGGAGTTTTGGTTGTAAAAAAGACCCGTTTCTGATCTCAATGAGTGGTTGTACTATTTATAAAAACAAACTCAAAGGCATTTATTTTAATTGTTTTGTCTTCGTATTACTGCTTAGTCTTGAAACTTGAAAGCATTTTTTGTTTCTTTATCTTTTTATCCCTAAAAAAATATATTTGATCCCTTTTTCACGTAAGACTATTAATATCTAATAATGGAGGTATATCTACATAAGCTATATTTGGCTTCTAACCTTTCCTGGACAATGTTCAAACTTGTTTACATTTTATATAAGTGTCTATGAGCAAATAGACAATTAAAGAAAGCTATGTCCCGCCCCTCGAACGCAGACTGACCAATCATAGGGTAGCATCATCCAGCTTTGAAACTCCCACCAAGGAGACCGCTTCCGTAGTTCTTTAAACCCAAAAGAAAACCTTCTCCCAAACCTAACTCTCTTTCTGCAACTCACGATTCACGGAGTGTTTCTGACTCTGCCACTTCAGCCAATTAAATGACAGCATCTTGTCAAGCAGGCTCGAGGGCGCATTGGAAAACTTGGAAATGTATTTTTCACTCTTCTGGGCGACGAACATAGTATAGACAATAATACGAATGAGTTTGCAAAGATATTGTGCTAAATTATTTTTTCGAACAGGCAATTAAAATTTACAAAATATTGGTGGGGACAATTGTGTCTTTCCCAAACTTTGGTCGTGACTAGTCCCTATGGACCATACGCAAACCTACGCCCTTGGATCAAGGCCAGGGACAACCTCACGCGTATTCTTAAAAATAATCGTGGTTTTGGTCTTAAATCAGACTGCGAGTCTACCACGTCTTGACAATTTAATTACTGAAACGGCTTTGCAGTCAGTTGAGTAATGTCTTCCTGAGAGATATTACTATTACTGTCTACCCTCAGCTATAAGGCTAGATTGAAAAGGAGCTGCGTTCATAGCCGATATGCAGTTCCAAAACCGCTTCACAAAGACGCTAAAAAGGTTGTTTAATTAAGCAATTAAATAAGCACCTTTACCACGTAATTTGAGACTATATTGTTATAGATAGAAGAAGGTATACAAAAATGGTGCTTGAATGAAATGACACACATCCATATTTTTTCACTTAGCTCTGCGGGTATCAAGTGCTTTGTTTTTTTAAAATTAAAACAAAAAACAACAGACTTGGTTACCAGGTGCAAATAACAAAGAAATGATGACTGGATGTGAGTCACTATTGAGACTTCTGTGTCCACGTACACACAAAATCATCTCTACATAAAATGCCTTGTTTTTATCAATAAATACCCGTAAATTATAACACAGAATGGACGTCGCATTGGAGGTATATCTGATGCAAGTACAAGGCCCCCCTCTAGTGGCTGTGACTGGTAGCAGGACTTCTCAACAGTGCACATATTGTAATGTCTGTTAGAAGTGGAGCAGAGACCTTGATGCCAGTGGGACTTGACATTAGCCATCTTCATGTGTCTCTTCTGCTATCTAGCCCTCTCAGCTGTCTGGCCCAGATGACGAAGATCATCTATTAAAGAAGCTACAGGCTGGTCTGTTAGCAGGCTGGAAGGGTCAGTGGGTGATTTGTTAATCCACATTTTTTTACCTACATCCTGCGTTATGATCCTTGATCAATAACTGCACACAAATATCAGAACAGACTTGGTAGTATTCTTTATTTTAATCTCCCACGATGTGACATATCAAAGAGTCCCTTTAACATATACATTTAGGTGTAGAGTGATATGTTGTGATAACAATTTTAAACATATCTCAAATACATTCTCAAGACAAAAGACATAATAAGCTAGCTGTGCACTAATTTCCCTTCATTTCCCAACATTCAGATAGTTTGTAATGGTGATACAAATACATACGTAAATGATCAGTACTCAAACTTTGAATTGATCTCATCTACTCTAATTATATGATGAGAAAACCAGCTTCTGATAACAACGCACCAAGTGTGTAAAAACTGAAGGAGATATGATTCCAGCATTTTCTAGCAACAGCATTAAAATGAGTTCACCAAGCCACTGAAGACAATCAGGTGAGGCACTACTCTACGCCACCACTCCTGTTACTATCACACTTACAGCTCACCTCAAAATCAAAAACACACATTTTTCCTCTTACCTGCAGTGGTATTTCTCCATCTAGATTGTTTAAGTGTGAGTGCCTAGTTTTGGAGATATCAGCCGTTGAGACGTCTGCCTTATCCCCATTATAATGCGACTACATGGCACTTGGCTTGTGGTGCTCAAAGCAAGGAACTGAAGATAATCCCCAGACTTTGCTTTGAGCACCACAAGCCGAGTGCCATGTAGTTCCATTACATTGGAGAGAAGGAAGACATCTCCATGAGCAATACCTCCAAAACTAGGCAGCTCACACCAAAACAATCAAAATTGAGAAATAGCACTACATGTAAGAGGAAAATAAGTACTTTCGATATTGTGGGTGAACTATCCCTTTAACTTTACAGACTATTGTCTACTTTAAATTTCTTAAGGCAACACAATGTGATATCAAAATGCAATGGAAAATATGTTGTAGCTAGCACACTATAATCACTAGTACTTGTACTTGTAAGTTTAAGTAAGGAGTTTAGGTAAATATAACAAAAACTCAAAAAAAAATGTGAACATAAAGAGTGACTTAAAGATCTTAATAAGCAATGGGCTGGTGCATGAATATGTTTTAGTGCGCAAAAATGACAAACAGCAAGTGCAATTTTAATAAGTCCCTTATTAAAGAAACAAAGTGATGACCCTCACTGAAACTCATTAATATCATGTTTCCTCTTCTATTTATTTATAGGTTTATTTGATAAGGGATAGTGCAAATTAATAAAAACATTTCTGTAAATGCGCCAGAGTTAGCCAAGAGGCTATTTTTCATCTGTAGTCCCAAGGCAGATGTTACAAAGCAACAAAGCCCTGTCCTCTGTATCTAAGAGTGGAATGGCAATGGGGATAATTCATTTCCTACTTATTTGTCTTGGCATTAAAGGAGAACTGTGCAGTAGGGCGTTTCCCACTGATCGTTATAAAGCTGCATATCTTGTATATTTCTCAGATTAACTTGTATTTTGTTAGTTAACACTCTCTTCAAGCTGACTTTCGAGGGGGATTTAGGCTTTAAGTGACCAAAGTGTTTATTTTGATGTTGGCTCTGCGAATGGTACCACCCTCTTCCCGGCCACAAACACCTCTACTATGTTACGGTCATCACCTGTGAAACAGGAAGCAACGGAGACAAACATAAAGGAAATGGTGAGTGGCACATTAGAGTCTGAAAAGTTTAGACAAATTGAACTGAAATTGACACTCACCCAAATTCAAGAACTTTTCCAAAAGAATCTGAAATTGAAGTGATAATACATTGGTGTTACACTAGATTCAAATGTTCTGCTTCATGAATTTGTGTGTAAATGTGTGTGAATAAATGAAGCCCCCACTACCAACCTTTGGTTCCTCAGGCTGGACCAGGTCGATGGGTCCACCAGGAGCAGTTACATTCACCCTCAGGGCGTCAAAGTCTTTGCCCACTTCGAAGTTCCCTGTCTGGCCATCCAGGGACAAGGCTACGGACAAAATGCATCATAAAAGAAACTCTTGTATTCTCTACCCTCTTGTGAAATTGCAATCAGTTATCATCAAAAATATCTCGTTCCCATAGATCCATGCGTGTTGAATCAGGAATTTCTACTGCAGAGTGTCTTAGAGGAGGCAAAGGCACTTCAGCAAGACTGTTTGTGGAGAATATGACAAACAAAGAGACAAAACACTTCATGTTTTAACCGTAACTTCTACACAATGCCACCTCTGTGTCTGACTGTTTTACCTTGGCTGCCTCCCAGTGTGGCCAGTCTGAACACCTCCTCAAAGGTGAGTGTGTTGTATTCTGGGTTCTGGATTTTTAAGACTTTGGATGTGTCCAGAGTTCTTCTCACAGAGTCCAGCATAGAGGCCGAGTAGCCCCCCGCCACATCTGACACCACAAACACAGACCGGATGAGTCAAATTAATACAAGCATGCACGCAGACACAAGCATTCACAAACCCGCATTGTGGATATGACAAAGCATCACATTTTCATATTTACGCTGCTTTGAGGGCCTGAAATTAAAACACCCACTACATCAGATGTTTGTTTTTTAAAACTGTGATCTGCTGGTGGTCAGCTGACATGAATGCCAAATCTCTCATTAAAAACACTAGAATGCCATAAAACCAGATATGTAACAATGTCTTAGCACCTATCTCACTACCTTCCTCCAGTCCCCGTGCATGCTTGAATGTACGGAACAAGGAGTTTCCGAAACAAAGCCAAATCATCAAACATAATTGTATTGCTTCTTGAGAGTGTAACGGACTGTGTCCAAAGTGGCCTGGCTTTACTTAGAGGTGAAAATGCACACACACACCTGTTCCCAGCCCCAACTTCACTTCGTGTTTCAGGACGTTGCGGACATCCAACATTCCACTGCACAACCTGAGAAGATATATACGTAGATAGATATATAGATAGCGAGAGAAAGAGAGATAGTAAAGTTTCATCTGTTGCACATCCTTGCATTCAGGCACTTACAATGCTATGTTATCGTATTGCTAAAGTGCTGTTTTATTGTAAAATCTGTGTCATGCAAATCTTTATGAGACTTCATTTGATCAGTGACTTACGAAATGTTGGAATTGGGGCAGTGAGACAAAGAGGCTCCTGCCTCTCTGAACAGAACCAACTCTTCATCACTGAGGTGGCAGCCATGAGCCATCACCGTCTGTGAATAATCATCGTCATCATCAGCATTTTCATCGGCATTTGTATTTTTCTACAAGACGTCTGCCTGTGTGTGCGCCAGCAGAGATGTGACTGTGTTCTCACCTTGTCAGTGAGCAGGTTATGTTTGAGATAGATGTCTGTGTACGACTCTGATTCAGGAAACAGCTCCAGCACAAGCTTAACTTCCTCTAGGTTTTCACTGATATGACTCTGGAAATAAACAGACATATGTCAGACATTAAACCACCGTGTTATCTTTGCTCTAAGCTGCAGCATTCAGATAGAGCCTGAGGTGTGGCGGCGCAATCACAGGATAACTAGCGCCAAACGTTATTCTGAACCATTTGTTTTTTTATTCTTCCCTGTCAGCATTTTGCCTTTAAAAAAATTGCACGTGTGTGTGTTTATCTCATTTCACAAAAACTCCACAGGTCCAACACTAAAGGGTCTCTGTGGCAACAGTCCCCTGCGGACATAGCCTGGTTTGGTTGCCACAGTGAGCTCACCTGAATGTGCAGGTTGTTAGTCTTAGCGATTGCTCCCAGCTGTCTTAGCAAGGCTCCGGTGCAGGATAGAGGGAAGCGGGGAGTCACCACTGGTCTCACCAGAGGGTACTACCCACAAAACACCAGAGGAGACAAAGGAGTGACAGACGATTTAAAATGCAGGCCTACTTTTTGTTAGATCCGAATGTTGTTCTGTTTTATTATATTATAGAATCTTACTTTTTTGTTCAACAGCTCTGCAATGAACCTTGAGGGAACAAAACAACGACTGTAACTCATTTGGCGCAGCCACATTTGCCCAAAACTTTTGAATCTGAGCGAATACAAACTAAGGACAATTAAATCTGTGATAAAAACAATAAAATAATAAGTTTGGATCTTTACATGAAAATATGTCATTTCAAGGTCTATCTGCATTCATTAAAACACAAGAAATTGTGCATTTTTTCCTAAACCAGATGTATTTACGTAATCCTAGCCAATCTTTTTAGGTACACTCAAAGAACAAACAATGATCTTGTCATGTTGACTCCAATATAATTGCAAAGGGGGAGGAGCCATGGTAAGTAAGCCATCAGTAACACCATGAGTGTTGTGGATCACATTGGACTAAATGAACCCTGGCTCTTTCAAAAACAAGCACTTGATTGATACGAAGGGTGATGTGGCATTTGCATTTATCAACTTGTCAGAAATAGGTTATGCTTTGTTGAAAAATGTCTTACATCAATTTAAATATTAAGTGCTGTAAACATAGTTTCCCACATGTTAAAATATAAAGACAGAAACTGTAGTGGTATTTGAAATAAATATTAACATCTATAAGAAATATGAAATAGTTAAAGGGAATTTAAAACAGAAAGAAGTCGTTGTCCTCACTCGGAGACATGTCTAACCCTCATCTGTTACATACATCACGGCATGTACATCCATGTACATCTCAGCTATCTGCGGCATTTCTGTTGCTATCTATTACATACTCTATCAGATATACTGTAGTAGCTTTAAATGCTAAAACTGAAAACTGCCTCTTGTCCGGCAAACATTGAACAAATTTAGTGTGACTAAAGTTGTTACCCCGGGGAATTTTTCTGACTAACAAATGCCTGTTCTCACCCAAGTAAAAATCCCCAGCACTACACTGTTGAATGAGTTGTTATAATATTTTGAAAGAGCATGCAAACTGTAAGCCACATCCTGTTTGGCACGATTCAAAGGTTTTCTTCACTGTACACATGCCCAAAGGCCTTCCTAATGTATTAAAGTGTTTTGATACCCACCGGCGGGTTTCCTCTTGAGATTCCTGATTGGTCTCTTTGTAATCTGGCACAGAATCGTTCCTGTCCATACACACCTTGCCAACAAGGGCACGCTGCCCAAAGTCATCTGCAAGAAAAACATGGATGATGTAACAAGAATGTGTAGAAACATGAATCCGTTATGTCAGTGTATTCACATTTTTCAAAAGGAAGCACAATTGTTACATAACTGAGTGATTTTAAAGGCTGTGCACACTGCAAAAGTGTAAAACTCACACAGGTGATTTCACTTATTTTTGCTGACTGGAGCGCTCATGACTGTTTGGGCGTGCAGAGACTGTGTTTGATTTGCATTGACTCACTGGCACTGAGTGAGCAGAGTCGTTACTATAAATGATAAACTAGAATCCTCTAATAGTACAAATGACTTTTGATTTTTATGACCACACAGGTGTACCACTCATCTATGGCCAATGTCATACTTGTGTTGATGTTCATTCTTATTAATTATGATTAACACTGTTGGTTGGTCATATTTATATTAATTACACACAGTACAGATGGGAGAGGAAGGCACGTGAGAGGTGATACCCACCCATGTTAAGAATAGTGAAAAGGTTTTGCGTCAACAAGTTTAGTGTGACAGATACTGTAGATAATCATCAGGTCACTGAGGGACTGTGAGATAGCTTTGTGCTACTGTGACCAAACATTTCCAGTCAAATCATGCAGAAAAAAAACCAATATAAATATATACACATCAGATTTCCCTGGGACGTTAAACTTTGGACCTTACGAGATTCTTCCTTTGGGAAAATATAGTACATTGGATGTTGTAAGCATATATATTTTGTATTCTTTACGTACCACTTGCGAAAAAATCGATAAACTAATAAATTGAACAAGCAGAATGAGAAATTCTGCAAACATTTCAAATACGTGTTGTAAATTCTAAAACACGTATATGCACACATATGCTTACGCTTAATAAGAACACGTTTCCCACAAAAGGGAACAGTTGCTCAGAACAGGACAAAGGTGAGTGTTCAAGGATCCTGATAACACAGAATGGCTGTGGCAGCCACAGCCATTCAATTCAGTACGGTAGAATCATTACACACTTATGTGAGTGTGTGTTCACTATTGCATAACATGACACCATGATAAGGACAAGGTGTAGAGGTGAAAAAAATTCTTCACCACAGTCACACAAAGCATGTGGCTCCATTATCACATTGTGAGCTGCTGCTCTGCTTATAAAAGTGACTATACAGCTTGTGTATGTCAGACAATATGTGCTTATAACCATCTCTCTCTTTATGCACTCCGTCACTGTGAATATTAAGTGTCTGTGTTAACAGAATTACATCACAACTGGTATTTTCCTTTCCTTTCTTTTCAGCAATAGCCTCCATTATTTGTCATTAAGGCGGCGCCAAATTAACTGGCAACCTCCCAACCACCCACAGGTCACCTGCTATGACGTAATTATTCTCAACTAAGGTCTTGCTATTTATTCTTCATATTATTTGCAGTATTCTGGCCTACACTCTTAACATGCAACTGTGTGTGTGTGTCTGTTTGCGTGTCGGACATCTTACTTGCAATCTGGCCCAACAGGAGAGAGGCATCTGTATGTATGGTAGCAAAGTAACATGCAGTGGTTGTTCCGTTGCTCAGGGTCCTTTTCTGTAAGGCACAGGGATCATATTACAGGATTAAAACATCATTTAAACAGTCTGCCTCTTTTCTAAACACACCCTTCTCAAACTGTAGGCTGTGTGGCAGTAGAGGGAACCACTAGCAAATGGCAAATTGCAATGCCATTGACAAAACCATATCGCACCTGTCATATTTGCGAGTGCCACAAAGCTCAGTCTTGGCTCCCTGTGACTGATGCACGGCAACTGTACCCGTTTTAATAGCCACCTCTCACCTTTCACAATGCCAGAAAACTCACCACTACTTTAGAGTAGACACTGTGGGCAAACTGCAAGTCCTTGAATTGTGACTCCACAGGAAAGGTGTAGGTATTGAGCCACTGCAGTAAAGGCATGTCCAGTGCTGTGCCTATGTAGCTGTACTGGGATGCATGGATGTGGGTGTCCACCAGTCCTGGCATGAAGAACTCACTGCAGTGCAGCAAATCATAGAAATGGTCAAAACATACAGTATCGTTTTTTTTAAATGGCATTTCCATTAACTGATTTAATATCATCTACAATTTTGATGTATTTAGTCATTTATTTATATATTCTACTTACTGTTGTGCCAGTTGAGTGACTTCAGTCGGATTGAATCCAAAGGTCTGAGACAGACTGTCTAGCTCCACGCCTTTCCCAATGAAAGCGATCTGATGGCAGAATGGCAATCAGTGAAAAGTTGATGTTAACCAAAAATAGTTTGCATGTGAAATAAAGTAGCCGAAGTTGTGAGATCTGAAAACATCCTTCCTCATTTGTTTTGCCTGCAGGAAATGCTTAGAGGGGCCAGCACAGCAAGTATAGGAGCAAATATTTACCATTTAGATCAGGGGTCACCAACCTTTTTGAAACCGAGAGCTACTTCAAGGGTACCGAGTAGTACGAAGGGCTACTTGTTTGATACCAACTTCCTGAATAACAAAGTTGCACAGATCACCTTTTAACAATAATAATATATGTGAAGAGACTGATCACATGTCAATGTTAATTATTCCTCACAAAAATGATTAACAGTGATTGTGTATTTTGTTCAAAATCGCACCTGTTATATTTTTGTAAAAATGATCACTTCTAAAAAATTTTAGGAAATCATTAACTGTCATATCTTCACATCATGACTCGTTTGTACTAACCACTACCTTCGTAACATTTTTGAACAAATCATGAACTCTGTCCCATGTTTATACAAATTATCAGTTATGTAAGATAAAAATGAATTTATTACATCAGTACTAATCACCACATTTTGGGAAATCTGGGTCAACTTTGCATTGCGTAATGAAGCCTGCATGCCGGTCTGTAGTCTGTAGTCACCAGCTTTTTTTTTGGGTACCATTTTCTCCACGAAGAAACGAGTAAAAAGTCTTGTCTATAGCCGAGGGGGGGGATCCAACCCTCCGAGGCACGCGAGCGTCTTTGGTCGCCTGCGTTCAAACCTCTAGTCTGGGCCTTTTCGATCGTACTGCGTTGCCTCGCCTCTGGTCCCTGCGGGCGACCAGGTGCCCGCGGGCACCATGTTGGCTACCTCTGATTTAGATTATATCCATTACATGTAGGCCTACTCTGTACTAAATAGCACCTTTTTTTGTGTACATGCCTTTGATGCTGCTGCATCGCAGTTCTTACCGCTATTGTACCCCTTAATAACCAGCGTTTGATTTCACAGTACTTCCGCATTTATAACAACGGAGTCCATGCGGATGATTTAAGGTTGTCCTATGAGTTTCAGCCCCACCTGTTGTATTTGAAGAGGGTACTTCAGACTGCTATTCAGCTTTTTGTGTCCGAGAGCTCATGTGGGACAAATTGTTCAAGTCGCTCAGCAACAGCTCACTGTAAAAGGCAATTATGTTATGTAACAGAGTTGCGCCTTATCGGTTTCTCATAACACGGACAAAAAGGAAAGACGTTTTTTACTGTGCCACATTTTGCCTCTTTGCGCAAGGTTTAGGAGTAAGCTCGGAGCTATATATATTTATCAAAATAGTAAGGTTTTTTTTAATACTTCTAAATGAGGTAAAAATCTGCTTTATATATTTTAGAGTCTGACAAACCTTTCCGTCCGTATCCACTCCGAGGAGCTCATCTTTTAGGATCTGCAGCGCTGTTTGCTGGGTCGAGTGGATAAATGTCCCCCGGTAGACGTTAGCAATTTTGGTGGTGGGTCTATTAGATTTTGCCATCCTTAAATAGCTCAGTCGGAGTCGAGCGGTGAGAAACCTGCAGCAGCACAGAGCACCACGACGCACCAGCAAGCAGCACTCAACTTGACTGCAAAGACTTCCTGCAACGAATGAGAACAAAGGGCGTGTGTCTATGTGAGTCGGGGTGTTATACGGTCTAAGGTTCGGGGTTTGTCTAATCGCCACCTAAAACTAGTCCCTCGTCACTGAGTCACAGAGGGATCCGCTAAAGACGACGTTTCCGGGAACGTTACAGCCGGAATCACACACTGCGGGTCATATCAGGTGCATTGAATTTGAACTTTGCCGGGGTTAATAATTAATCACAATGACCAAACAAACAGCATAACTGATCTATCAGTTATTACATTGCAGTCATTTAGCAGACGCTTTTATCCAAAGCGACTTACAATTCAGATCCTATCACACCGTAGGCACAGCTACGTGAGCAATTTTGGGGTTAAGTGTGTCATATACGGTAGTCTAATGCGCTTGCGCATATACTGGGCGTTATACGGTAGTTCCAGATGCATGTATAGTGAGACACGGTGATCCATTAAAGGAGTTGAGCAAATTAAGAAGCCTCTATTGCTTTACTTTACAAAGTGTCTTGCTCAAAGACACATCGACATGCGACTATAGCAGAGCAGGGGATCGAACCACCAATCCACCAATCCTCTGCTCTCCACAGCCACAGTCGCCCACTGTTTATTGTCGCCCCATTATTATGTGATGCCCCTATTGTACAACACCAAGAGAATTAGTGCAGAGAGGATCATTGATTCCAGCCTGCCCTCCATCCTGGACTTGTACACCTCCAGAGTCAGGAAACGGGCTGGAAAGATCTCTGCAGACCGCTCACACCCTGGACACATGCTGTTCCAACTCCTCCCCTCTGGTAGGCGCTACAGGGCTCTGTACGCCAAGACCACCAGACACAGGAACAGCTCCTTTCCACTGGCCGTCACTCTCATGAACAATAAATAAGTCATACTGCACTACCTCTGTTTGCACTGTTACCACCACTTGCACTATCACCTCAATTCCATTGCCATTGTTTATAGGTTTATGTTCACATGTGTGTGTGTATATATATGTACACTTTTTCCTTTGGATTGTTAATTTGTGTTTGTACATTGAGAGCGGAGTGGAAACCGGAGTCAAATTCCATGTATGCGTAAGCTGATTCTGATTCTGATTAGTTTGCCAGCTGCAGTGACTGCAATTCTCCTGCATGGGTGGACCCCCAACCCCAGAAGAACAATATCTATTTTCTGTTAAAATATAATTCCAATAATACACTGTAAAGTGTACATAAGCAGCATGCTCAAGTAAACACAATTACATTAGACACATTTGATACTAGTCAAATTAGCAAATCTTCCACCATCCAAGAAAAGTCAACTGGCGTTAAAAGGAATAACCCCGGTCATCTTTTTATTAATCTCAAAGAATGTGTGCAGTTAATGAACGATAAAAAGATAGAGGAAGGAGGACATTCTGTACAATCTCTCAGCACGAAACATCAGCTATGTCGAAACATACTCGAGGACTGAAATAATGCAAACTGCTGTGTGCATGTCAGTTGGCACATCTTGGGTGGCTACTTGTTCCTCTTTCTCAGTGCACCGTACCAATGTTTGGCATAGGTTATTATCATATATAGATAATAGCTATTATCATATTGGTACCAACTGTGAGAATATTTTGTTAATATCAGGGTTTTATTTTTGAAAGTGGGTAATAATGAAGCAGAAACATCTTACACTAACAATGGGGAAGAACATAGTGTGGTTATAGACCAATTTACAGTACAATGGGGGCATTAAAAAGTAGTAGATAAACCTTCACAACCACAACTTCTCCTTTACCATTCAACGTTTCTTTTTTAAAAGCCACAAAAGACACAAAGTGTAGCTTTTAGTATCCCAAACCTCTCAAGTATCAATGAGGAAGTACTGCCACATTGTTTTGAATTTATAAACCCTCACATGATGAATTACAACACCAACTTTAGAGCAGGGGTGTCAAACTCATTTTCACCCGGGGCCACATCAGCATTAAGGTTGCCCTCAAAGGGCCGGTTATAAATGTAACTGTATAAATGTAAATACTCCCTAACATATTGTTGAATACCGTTAAATAATACATTTGATTATTGTTTATTCAAGTGTAAAAATATTGTACATGCAGTTATATAAATGTAAAAATATATTTAAGCACATTTCTGTTTCTGTTCCGTAACTGACAAAGTTCAACGGCGATATGGAAAAACTGCTGTCTAACGGCAGGATGCCGTCACTTCGCGGGTCACATAATCGACCCGTGAAGGACCAGATGTTTCCAGTTGGACCAGATGTTTCCAGTTGCTGTTCAATGAAGGCGGCCACCTCAGCCACATTGGTTTTATTCTTTCTACGCCAGAGCTGCTTCTTGCTGAAAATCCTTTCAAGGGTGTGTTTGCTCAGTACAATCCATGTCAAGTATTTCATCCGTTGCAAAGCCAAAGTAGTCTTCAATGTACTCACAATACATTTCTATGTCAAATGTAGGGTAACCTATGAGGAGCTGCTTCTGACTGTTGTGTTAGTACCTTATAATTTTGACTTTCTATCTCATAATTTCGACCATGGGGATATTTTTACTATCAAGTCTAACTTAAAAAATGACGTGGCAGGCCTCGAGTTTGACACCTCTGCTTTAGAGGAACATGTAACTATACGGGTTATTCAGTGACAGGAAGTGTAGAGGGGAGCTGAAAATAATTGATAAAAAAACGAGAACCTGGGCATGATAGCTTTATGCAAGAAGTGTATCACTGCACTGCTCTATCACCCTACAGAAACATCTCTCAGCTCTACAGTAGTGAACCAACATGTAAGTTACAAATGTTAGTTTTTTTAATGAAATGTGAAAATGGAGTCTAAAGTTGTAAAGTGCAACAGTTTTTGGGGAATGTTGAAAAGCCTTAGTTGTGAAGTGGATCGTTTTAGCTAGCTGGACCTGACAAACATGTGACTGAGTGTAAATATAAACTTGTAATGTGTGTGACAGGGTCAATGTTTCAGAGTCAGTTCCTGATATTCAGGCAAAACCTCTACTTCTGCTTTCAGTGCTGCTGATACTTCAAGGCCTCTATTAGTCTAATTAATGTCAGAAGAATTGGTAGCTTAGATACATGAATGTAGACAGTGTACAGGTTTTTATTACGGTACAGTAAAATGTATATATTCAGGCGGCATTGTTTGTGAATGTACAGTATATAATACAGCTACTCAACCTAGTGTTACATTAGCTCGTACTCCAGGTGCTCCATCAAACCACATTTGTTGATTTGCAGCATTTAAATTTGAATATAGTCCAGTCTTAAACATCACACTGTACTTTGATTAGAAATCTTGTTTTGTATAATTGTAAAAAAAGAAAGAAAAAAAACTTGTTATAACAAGAACCCTCTCACTCTTTAGTCTTTAAAGTGGACTCTGGATACATCTGGGAGCACATCAGACCTGTTCTGTCTCTTCTTTGGTTCTGAGTCACTATCGGAATCCTCTTCCTTATCATCATCATCTCTTCGGTCGCTTAAGTCATCATCATCACTGTCCAAATCATCCACGTCCTTCTTCCCTCTTCCTTTCTTTTTCTGTTCATCCTCCTCTTCTTCCTCTTTCTTGTCTTCTTCTGAGTTTACTCTACACAGTGAGAGGAAAACAAAATCAGTCAATCTTGAAGATTTGAATTGACTTAAAATAATTGTCAAGTGTATAGCCGAATGAGGTAACATAATGGTGATTGGCCCTATGATGAAAGTATTGCAATATTTATATATTTGCAGTATTATTAAATGGGTGTCTGTGGGCACACGGTTCTGTAAACCTGAAGTTCATGTGTCAACCAAAAGACTCCACACTGCTTAACTCTGCCCCATTGTTTTCACACACGTAGAAATCAACCAGGAACAAAAACTTAAAGGAGACATATTACGCTCATTTCTATGTTCACACTTGTATTTTGGGTTTATACTACATGTTGACATGCCTTACTGTTCAAAAAGCTCTTTATTTTTCTCATACCGTCTGTCTCAATATACCCGTCTTCACCCTCTGTCGTTTTAGCAAATTTTAACGGATTTGAGTTGCTAGACAACAGTTTGGGTCCATGTGTACTTCCTGTCAGCTGACCAGAAATGAACTAAGACACATTTAGGATGTTGACATTTAAAACTGTGAAATGGTCTCTGTATTGTTGTGACATAACTCCCGTACTGAAATCCTAATGTTTAAAAAGTTTCTGAAAACGGGCTGTGTGTATTTCGCCATAGATTGCGTGTTTTGATACCTTCACAGTATTTAGAGCCGCTTTGTGATAAAAAAAAAAAAAAAAAAAGACATAGAAAATATAACTTTTTACAATATGGGACTTTTAAGGATTACCACATTAACTTGTACTCCGGCAAGAGCAAAGGAAAAAACCCTCCTTCGTTGTTTTGAATGTCATAGTGTAACCAAAGTAAAAGAGAAAATGATACAATAGAATAAATTGATGCCAAGATGTTGAATTTGTGACGGGGAGATGTAAAGACCGACGCTAAAATGCTTTCAATGACTTGTCAAGTATTTTCTTAGAGTCGGTTGTGATGTATCCCGTTGTCCACAAGATGGCAGACTTGCAGTAGAATTTACTGAGCGAGCTTGACTATGATTAAGAATACTAAGATTGACTTCTTAAAACCTCCAGATAAAGACCACATGTACCACATTTTTTAAAGTCTTCATATACAGTGTGAGGACATATATGAATGGCTGATGGGGATGTGGACAGAACAAACATAACATTGGCTACAGTAAAAAAAAGAGGAAGATAGATTTTTATAATAGTAAGCGGAGAAGTTGTTAATTTACACGAGGTCACAACACAAAATTACTTCAGTCACCGATCCTCTGTATGCATGAATCTGAACAAACAAACACATGTTGATGTGCATAAAGGACCACTCACGGAATAACGATTTCCTCTTTCTTCCCACACTTGCAGCAGATGTCTAGCTGAAGGGAACAGGGCTTACACACGATGTGATACGCATCCTTCACCGTCTTCTGAGAACACTTGACACTGAAAGAAGAATACATGCATGCACACGTCATCAATGTTCACATTCAAACCAACTGCAGCTGTCTTTATGACATGAATAACAAATACAAACACTTTACTGCACATATACAACAGTGTGACACACTGACACAGATTGTGTGAGACTGACTGTGGTTTTCCATACTAGTACAATAGAACTGGACAAAAGCAGGAGGAGCCAGAAACAGATGTAACAGATGAGATCGGTTGTGTGTGGTCACGAGCAGTTGTAGCTGTGCAGATATTTGTTATGAAATTAAAGTGTACTCACCATTTTTTAGCCTGTGTCAGAGTCTTGTATTTGTTGTACCTCACTTTCCACTCAAGCACACCCTTACAATGTAGACAGAGCCCATCGTGGATCTTTGATTTTGCCTTCTGCAATTGTGATCACACACGCAGAGACACGTTGGAAATGTTATAATAATAATGTTACAACATGGCTGCTTTAACTAAAGCCTCTACACAAGAGCGCACTGTTAGTATCTATGCTAGCTAGCTAAACACACACATGACTTCAATGTTCACGCACCTGCACTTGTACAGTCGCTCCGTACAAGTCGTTTTTGAAGGCAAAGTTGTTTTGATGCTTCTGGCCTCGCGACCGAGACACGTTCCCTTTTTGAGAACTCATTTTATTTTCCGATTTTAGTTACACATGTTATGTGGGTAAAAAAAAAAAATCCGGAAGCATGCCGGAGATAGAGAGAGCACTGACCCGGAAGAAGTACGAGCACGTCACGAAACGTCATTCACGTCGAAACACAAAGGTTCTACTTTTCTAAAAATAATAATAAATCAAAACCAAAAAGTTTGTTGGAGTAAAAAAACGAAAACAAAGCACAACACTGGTTCAGATAATATAATAAAATACAATAGTTATAGATTACCTGATCGAACGTTAGGAAACCCCCCATCGGGTGCTGATTGGACCGCGCGTTGCAATAGTAATCTCCGGTTGGTTCTTCTAAACGTCAATCAAAATATGAGGTCACCACTTTGCCGCGTCAGTAGGAGCCGCCCATAAATAGCCACACGTCGTGCCATTGGTGGACTCGTTTCAACAGTCTCTTTACTATTGGTCCATGAAACTGTCAATCACGGCTCCCTCCTTCCTTACAAGCTAGGACAACAAGCCGAGTGATTTTCACAACGAACCTAAAGCGGTGATGTTTCGGAGGCTGAGCGATACCGTCGAGAACCGACTGGCTTTCAGACAGTAATTTAGTTAATTTCAGCACTTTATGGAATGTACCCATGTCGCCGTTGAGCAGAATATACAAGAACGTTTTGAATGAATAGACCTCGTTATCATTCAGGACCATGTGTTGAGAAAACCGAGCGGAGAAAAAAAGAAAGAAAGGACCGTTTGGGAGGCTGTCTGGACCCCCCGGAGGACGAAGCGTTTCTAGCTAATAGAAACTCAGGGCTGCCAAGAGGGATATACACTCTCACAGCGACACAGCCAGCGAACGGGACACGGAACAGAGGATAATCTGGCCGAGGCTACCCGTGACAATCTCCTGGTGCGAAAATAACACCTGACTACAGCGACGTCGGCCAACACTGTCACCTGAAAACAAAACAAGCGTCCACCGCCTTGCAGGTAAAGGTTGGGATCATAATTCTGCTCAGAGAACACGCGCATATTTGCATGTTCATCGTAATCTCTTCAAACACATTTCTTTGCCTCCACCACCATTTTACAGTACATCGTTGCGTGGGGCTCCATTCTGTCTCCGCGGTTGGGAGATTATGGACTATTTTTGGGTAATTTACAGTGTTAAGCAAATAGGCTTCACTATGTATTTGACTACTGTGTGCAAATGTCACAGCATCTTGGCAGAAGCGGCATCCATAGGCTGCAAAAAGTATTCACCGGAAATCCTCTCTGCTACTGCCACACAGGTAATTAAGTGGTACTGAAGTCACCTGTGTGTCTACCCAGCAGTTGTTGGGTTTCTTTCAAAACTATAAAATGAAGACTATTCCAAAAATAATCCCTTCAGAATAAAGTATGGACAATTGTAAAATAGCAAAAAAAACAATTGGAAATCTGTGAAATGCAATATAGGGAATTAAGTTTGGGAGAAGAGTATTTGAGGATGGTATTGCAAAGATGTAATGGCAGGGTGTCATTGCTTACTTCAATCACCTTCGTTGGAAATACAATCCACAGCACATTGTCATAACCTGACAGTGACGTGTTTCAGCCTATTTAGAAGGCCATGAGGAGTTATACAGAGTCAAATTACTTGTCAAAGGCATTTCTTCAAGGATGTTTTGTCAGGGTGCCGCCTGGCTGCTACATTTCAAGAGCACCTGGGATATCCAAAAGGTGGCCATGGGGGGTGGGGGGGTGGGGGGGTCCAGGTGCAGGGTGAAACAAGAAAGCCTTCTGAGTCAATACTGTCTGAGAGGTTGTGGAGCCCCGAGGCAGACGGAGAGCAAACACTCAATCAGGGTCAGATATCTTTCTTTTTTTTATAATGCTGGCTGAAGAGAGCTATGCATTCTGGAGTAGGGAATTGACACCAGCCCGGCTTTAGCCCCCCCAGTCCCGGAAACCCCCTGCTTAACAAAAACAAGTATTTATGTTCTTGGAGAGAACATCATTCAAGAGCTCTGTGGAGAAATGGCTCTTGTGGTGTTTTCCTTGTGATCAATCTGCAGGGGATTCAGAGGCAAATTAGTGTTTCAGTTGTTTTAACCATTCTCCTTCTCCCCGTCAGTGTTTTGAGGATGAACCACTTATCCCTCAGCGAGCTATGCTGCTTGTTCTGCTGTCCGCCGTGCCCCAGCAAGATTGCCTCTAAGCTGGCCTTCCTGCCTCCAGAGCCCACCTACAGTCTCATGTCCGACGACAGCGGCAGCCGCTGGACGCTGCACCTCTCCGAGCGCGCCGACTGGCAGTACTCGTCCCGCGAGAAGGACGCCATCGAGTGCTTCATGACCCGCACGACAAGAGGGAACCGCATTGCCTGTATGTTTGTCCGCTGCTCACCCAGCGCTCAATACACGCTGTTGTTCTCCCATGGAAACGCGGTGGACTTGGGCCAGATGAGCAGCTTTTACATTGGCCTGGGTTCACGCATCAACTGCAACGTCTTCTCCTACGACTACTCGGGCTACGGGGCGAGTTCTGGGAAACCCTCCGAGAAGAACTTGTACGCCGATGTAGACGCCGCCTGGCAGGCACTCCGCTCACGGTAAGGAGAGATGATGCAGGGAAAGGGGAGAGATGGGCACACCTGTACACAGATGTTGGGACAGCCTGGAGAAAAAAAGGATGCAGTGTTTCACCAGTACTTATTGATGCGTTGATATTAGAGTAATTGAATAGCATGTAGTCCCTAAACTTGATTTCTCACAAGGCTGCAAAATAAAACTTGTAGATCAAACACTCAGAGACTGGTGAGTTAAGCCCCGTGAACACAACACACACGTATGTACTGGACAATGCTGTTCAGTGCATGACAATAGTGGGAAAGAGTCCTATTAATAGCAGCTCTGGTCACGTCTTTCTCGTTCGACAGCTTTTGAGAGATAATGTTATATAATAACCCGGTCGGCATTGTGGGTATTTTCTTATGCTGTGAATGTCTACAGCTGTTGGTGAGTATGAGTAGTAAGGAAATGGGGACTATTTAAATAACAGCTGAGGTTAAGTAAAATATTAAGAAACCTGGCCGATGTAGATTGATACGACAAATCATAAACATAAAGAGATGACAGGAAGAGCGGACCTGATAAGATCTTGGGTGGAGGATGACAGGAATGGTTTAGAAGAGACGACATGATGTTTTCCTGGGCGGTAATAAGGAGCGTGTTTTCTATGATTATGCTGGCCAGCCATATGTAGGTGTGAGTGGGCGCTCTGCTGCATCTTGTTGCTCTGCAGGCTATGAATAGACTGATATTTATTGGTTGATATTTGGCTTGTACTGATTTTTTTTTTTTTCTGCATTTGTAATAACCACTTAGTGGTTTTATGTTTCCGATGTTGCAGAGTGTTCAGTGTTTAATCCCTGCTCTATTACCCACATGTTCGTCACTTCCCGTGTGTGTGTGTGTGTGCGCGCGTGTGCGTGCGGTAATGTATCCATCATATTTGTGCCCTTTTGTTTACATGGTAATAAAAGTTCATCCAGCAGCCCTGGATATTTTGAATATTTCCTGCTGGAAGACAAACAAATGACTAGCAGAGGAGATGGAGAACTTTGGCTCAGAATAACAACACAGGAAGAGAAGAGCCAAAGGAGAGTAAATCAACCATAAAGAGAGAAACTAGGCTTCTAGCGTGGAGTGCCACTCCTGTGTGGCACTGCAGAGATTTAAATGTGCTGATGTAGAACACTGGAAGGGCCACTGGCAACAAAATGTTACCGTTTCTTAGTCGCTGACTTTAGCTGTGAATCTTTGTCGGCACTACTTTGACATTTTACACAATCGCCCATTTTAGAGAATCTAAAATGGCCTTCTGTAAATATGGAAATGTATATAAGGAAGTTGACCAGTTAAACAGGAAACTCTTGATCATAAAGGTTGTGTATACAGGAAATGGGCCACTGCTGTGAAGAAGAACCCGCTTTTTGTGTGTGTGTGTGTGTGTGTGTGTGTGTGTGTGAGAGAGAGAAAATTCATTCCTTTGCGTTAAATTAAGCCTTTCTGTCTCTTGTGTTTAAATTTAGCATGCGTGATTGCCATGAATGTCTCCTAAACTGTTTACCCAAAGCTTTAATTACAATGTGAAGGAAAGGAGAAGTGCTGAAGGCGTTAGAAAGGCCTTCTGGACGCTCTGAGCCCATTCACTGCCTGAAAGCACTTAAGTGTTGTTGTTCTGCTTTTTAATGTTTCTTGTTTCCATCTTACTTATTGTTTTTGTTGTTACACCGAGGAAACTCCTACTCACAATCTTGAGCGGTGCTGAAATTTCATTTAATCTGAGCGAAGCAGAACCGACACTTCAAGTAATATTAGATAAGAGTAAGTTGAATTTGTCCTTAAATAACAACGCTGAAAACCATTTGCACAAGCTAAACTGCCTGGGCCAAATAAAGTTTGTAAGGCGTTCTCCTAATGTTACTGGTTGTAACAGCTGTAACAAGCCGACTGTTTCTGTACGTGATGTTCATCAGCTTGTTTTAAGAAGGTCAGAGCAGGCATTGACTCAGATCACTCCCACACAATGTATCTCAAGTCTTTGGAGGTTAATCAGGGAAGAAGGCACTTCAAGATCGGATGAGCGGCTTTCTGAAACAAGGAAATAACTTTTTCATACTGAAGTGGCTGCGTGAGGGGAGTTCGTAGCTTGGCTCAAGCACTTTAACCATATTTTGAAATCCTTTGTTTTCCACATTGCAGTATGGCCTCATGTCGGCAGCAATAAACACCCCAATAGATGCTGTAATAGCTTTAGCCTGGTCTGATTCTGCCACAAACGTTTTCTTAAATGCCGCAGTGATACCTTGTTGTTGTGTCTTGGTCCCCGTCACTGACAGACCAGGATGGTGGCACTTCATATGTGTGGACGATGTATTGCCGCTGTGTGTCTTTCTCGTCGAACGACGCCTACATACCGTAACGGTTTTGTCCGCCACACTTATCCCGTCATTATTAGTAACGGGGAAGCCAAACATGTGACTTGTATGACATTATGTAATGTGATATGTCTACGTTAATGGTGCACACGGCACTTATCATGATAGGGTACAAATTACAAGAGGGAGTTTCCCTATTGTGTACAATACCGAGACCCCCAGTATTATGTATTTTGTCCCCTTTTTGGCTCTGCGGTCTGTGTCTGATGGTTTGAGGGCGGTGCCAGATTCCCACTGGTCTGTCTGTGATGACTTATCACATCAAGAGGCATCTCTGCATGGCCTCACATTAGTCTGCCTCCTGCATCCCTCGTGCATATCTCTCATGTTAGATCAGATGCACAGCCTGAAGAAGAGAGCTTCTCTCGCGTCTTTCTACTTTCTCTGCTTGTTGAGAAGTGTCAGTCTTTTCTTTTTCTGATGATTTGGCATTTTGAACCCATGAGGTTCAGTCTTGGTCTGCTTCCGTTTGGGCTTTCTGTGTCATCCAATCGTTTTCTCCTCATGATATGGCAGACAGCAAATGACTCTTCTCTTGAGTGTTGACACACTTGTTAGGCATTTTTTTGCTTTACTCCAGGATCAGATAAGACAGGGCAGTCACGTTGAACCCAACACAGTTTCCTCCTGTGCTCCTTTGTTGAGCCACGGTGGATGAGCCACTCCCTCCACCTGAGCAGGGAGGGGATCGGATGATTCATCATTGTTTGCTCATTCACATGGCAAACGATTACACATGCTGATAGAATAATGAGTCGGGTGACTATTTGCTGCAGAAGAAGAAATCGAGCTTGAGAAAAAAGCAGTTTATTGACTAAAGAGTGACCAAGCTGATGAAAGTCTGTCTCTGTCTCTCTCTGTCTTTTTCTTTTCTCTTGAGATAAAGCGGTCAATCCTGCTAGTCTAATATTGAGTGGTAGCTTAGCAACCCATGTCCAATGAGCTTCCAGACAGAGGTCTTCCCACACTATGTCCACTAAAAACAAACACAAAAACTCACTTCCTAGTCGATCATCATACCGATCCAAATCAAAACTCCATCCGTCTTCTTAGACCTTCACTAGTGGGGAGACATCCTCACAGAGAGGCCATCATGACTGAGCTATGCATCCTTTACTTTAAATAGTAGTGGTGGTTAGTATATTTTTTTTGGAGTGTGAAAGTCTCAAACCGTTACAACCCTAATTTCAAAGCCTCTGTGAAGGATCCCCCTGCTGTAGTGCAGATGGTACAGTGATCTGTTAAAACGTGACTGTAGATATGTTCAGAACATCTATTAGTCATAGTGACGGCGATGGGATGAGAATACTTTTGGTCCTCGGAGAGGAAGAGGTGGGCAGCCAAGACGGATGGAGGGACGCAATAAGGGAATGCAGGAGGATGTGATGCATAATGGATCGGATTTCTGTCAGGAGACTAAATAGATGAAGGTTTTGAGGGAGGAGCGTAACCATGGAGCATGGCTGGCAATGGCCTGGTGAGGTCTATTCAAGCTGAAAGGCAATTGAGTAAATTGCAGGCTTGTGTTGGGGGGGGGGGGGGGGGTTGCATCTCTTTGGTCAAAGCCAGTCGTAGTGCCGTCCTAACACGAGTGCAGCTGCAGATCTGCTCTGCCGTTGTCCATGGATAGCAGGATGGGTTGGAGGTTCAGAGGGACCTTGTTGTAAGCAGCAGTTCACGGGTTCAAAGCCTTGCATTATTCATTGTCCTCGAGTGAAACACTCCTACTTGCTCAATGTGGGGGAAAGCCTTGTTTGTCCCTTCACCTGATGACTAAGCTGTCAAATGGTTCCACTTCACCCTCTCTGTATTGATGTTGTGTAAGCCTTATGTTGTAGGACCTGTGTGGTGACTGTTTGTGTGTAAGGATTGGCCAGGCTTTAGTGGCCTGATATGGCAAAGAACATTGACTAGACGAATGGAGATAAGCACTATGTGATAAGGGTCTAACACCGAGAAGCTGTTGGTAACGGTAAACAAATAACAAAAGCTGAATCTTTAACTTTTAAAAAACAGCCTCATGCTGAGTTTCTTATGATCTAATGCTGCCTGTGAACACTTCTGGTAAATGGAAGGAGACAACCAAACCAGCGCCTTGTACCAAACCATTCACTTGAATCTTTCCTGAGAGGAGTTAATATTAATCATGTGGTCATAAATCATCGGAGTGTCACGTCATCTCCCAGATTACGTGACGCCTTCTGTTACTTGTCTAGTTTCGTTTTTAAGATGCAATGAGTTCACCGCTCTTGACGGGGAAGTTTAGGTTTGATGTTGCTGAAAGTCTTTTTCCCTCGAGCTCTGTTATTGCCTACCGTACCTACGTTTATCATCAGCCAACCTTGAGAGTTATTGGTGCCGTTCACCCCACAGCACCAACAGTCTCTCCCATGCCGTGCCAGTACTTTCACCCCTATTTATAATCGGTAAACTGCTCATGTTCTCCTGCTAATGACTGTGTATGTCTGCACTTAAGTCTATTGCCCCGTCATGGCCGCAGTACGGCTACATCACTGCACACTGTTCCTTTGCGAAGGTTGTGTTAGACTTGTGTTGTGGCGCTTCTAATTATAATAATCCATCACAGCGGTGTGGAGCGCTGTCAGACTTTGGTGTTCGTGTTTGTTCATCACTGTGTATTATAGGACTGCAGAGGCTACACCGTTAAGCCTGTAATGTTAGTGTTCCTAATTTTAATAAAGATAAGATATAGAGCAGTGTCAGGCTGTGTACTGTGCGCTATCCAGCAGTTCAGACAGTGATGCAGTGTTCTCAGACCAAGTTTCAGGTCGTCAGCTGACTGGTTGCTTTGCTGGAGTCGGTCACATTCGCCATAATCGGCTGTGGAATGTCTTCACCCTCGATCCAGTACCGGTGTGTTTCTTTGCTGCCTTTCTGCTGTTATTCCCCCTTCTTCCCTCTGAATCACGAGACTCCAGCTGCTTTGAAAAGCCATCTTTGTGTGCACATGTTAGGAGGCAGTGCAATCACTGAGTCACTGTTGCGTGACGTTTCAGCCTATAATAGAGTATGAGTAAGTCTCCGTAAGCACACAGGTGTGTGTTTGCATGGACACAGCATGTCTGGGTAAATAAGAGTACGATGTGAGAATAAGTGGCAGTGTGAGTGTGTTTTCTATGAGCAAACCTTTGAATCGTTATCACAAACCTTTTACCTTGAAAAGCACTTAAAGAAAATCAACTTTAACCAAATGGTGGATTCCACAATAAAACACTTTTTCGATATTGCCAGACAAGCTGCTTTTTATAATGAACAAAAGGCCTAACTGGACGTCTGCCAGTGTCTAGAAAAGCACACAAGCTTCACCTGCATACGTCTGGCTCCTAGTAGATTAAATATCCTGCACATGATCAGCGAAAAGTGTGAAGTACAGATATCCTGTGTCCTGTTTCTGCAGGTATGGCATCCGTCCAGAGAACGTGATCGTGTACGGCCAGAGCATCGGCACCGTGCCCTCCGTGGACCTGGCTTCTCGCTATGAGAGCGCTGCAGTCATCCTCCACTCCCCGCTCACCTCCGGCATGAGGGTGGCCTTCCCCGACACCAAGAAGACCTACTGCTTTGACGCCTTTCCAAAGTGAGTGTGCCGTACGAGACAGATGGCTCCTGTGAAAGAAAGCCAGGCTATTTGTATCACAGACATCCTGCACACACACTATTTAAAAACGCACGTATGAAGGAATCTGCATCAGAAAATACTCGTACAAGCTTGCAAACATTGACTTGTGCATTTATGTGTTAAATCAATACAGGGTGTGTTTTTCTTTGTAATGAACCCAGGCGCTTCAAATGTTTTCAATAGTTCCCTCTGGTGGTCAGTTGGCGAACTAGATCTGATCACAATTCTTTACTTAATTTGTGATTACAATATCTCAACCCAGGTCTTTTTCCTGTCTGCTTCATGCCCGTATTTTTCATCCTAACTCGGTCTTCTTACTTCCTTACTCCAAAGCATCGACAAGATTGCGAAGGTGACGTCCCCGGTGCTGGTGATCCACGGTACGGAGGACGAGGTCATCGACTTCTCCCACGGCCTGGCGCTGTATGAGCGCTGCCAGCGCCCCGTGGAGCCGCTCTGGGTGGAGGGGGCTGGACACAATGACGTAGAGCTCTACGGACAATACCTGGAGAGACTCAAACAGTTCGTTGCACATGAGCTGGTCAACTTGTAGTGGAGAGAAACGCTTTTTAAGAGGGGTCGGATGATGGAGAAGGGGTACTTTTTTTTTTTTTTTTTTTTTTTTTTTGTGTGAAGTGATGAAGGTAAAAGTAGTGTTTGTGTAGTACTGACGTTTCGGTGGCAGTCTTCTGTCATTGTCGAGCACCTCTCCATCTTGGAGCTCCAGTTTGTCCGTCGGTACCGTCAACTCCACGTGCTGCAGCTGTGAACTTACAAGTACCCACCATTTTGTTTTTGCTTTTAGATTTTCTTTTTATTAAGTTGAAAATTGCACATTATGAAAGTGTGTGTGAATGACAGAAGTAGACTTGTGCACAGACAACGTACCATGTGTATATGCAGTATATGAGAGAGAGAGAGAGTGTGTGTGTGTGTGTGTGTCACACAGTCACATTTTTGCTGCCTTTTGAGAAGGACGTGGTCCACGGTTCTTAACGGCGCGGTTCTGGAGGCGTTCCAGGTTCTAAGAAACAGCCTTTCTACAAACTGGACTGGATCACAAGTGGACCAGACTCTCTAATCCAACGGGACTCATCTGACTTTGAGATCAGGTTCGGTCCCGCACTGTGCAGTCACCATGAATTTATTTTCTGGATTACTGTTCATTATGTTTTTTATATTATACATGGTATTTTGCACGTATCAGCTGTCACTGACAAACTGTACAAGACAAACTGATATTATCTAGCTGGGCCAGTGTTGCCAAATTCTTAGTATAGTATATAGAGTTGGTCACACAAAGAACTTTGTACAAAAACCATTAAGAATCGCCTCCAAAGCTGTGTAAGCTGTATTCAGTCTCGACTTCTCCATTTAGTCTTAAAATGGTACAACTTAATGCAAGATGGAGCTCCGTCTGCTGCTCGTGTAGCCAGTTAAAAGGCCGGGGCTGTATTTCATTGACTAATGCATGTGGGTTACTTCCCACTCTTTCTTTTGAAAATGTAAACTCAAGAACTGTTACTGAAAGATGAGTATCACTACACATTAGTCGATGAGCTGGATGTTGTCACAACAATGAAGTGCCCCCCCCCCC